AGCTACTTCATTGGCATAAAGAATGTTCACTCAATTAACTTTCGGATAATAAAAATTTTGCAGGTTTCTTCTGAGCCGGTCCACACTCACGCTGTTGTGGGTTCGCAATGAGTTTTATTCCTGAAGTTACTGTCAGAATGTGGCAAGAATTGTCTTTATTGCAATGAACTCTTTGTCCTTACCTTGCCCAGTAGATGGTAGTGTTGGCTGGTTTTTCTAATTTATTTAAAGCTGTGCATTATGATGCATGGGTTTTTTTCTTCTTTTTTTGTCCTTTGCACTTCAGTTGTTCTTTAATTTTCTTCCCTTTTATTTCTGCCTGTTCTCCCAAGTAATATTTTTACCTTGTAGAAAACAGTAGTAGCGTTTATTCTGATTTGATCTCTGTGGGTACTGATAGGATCTTGTACACTCTCAAAAGGGCACAAGTAACAGCTAACGCAGATAGGCTGATCTTTGTTGCTCTGAATTAGACACATGCAACAGCAGGGACTTAATTTGAAACAGGATGGTATTTATTTCTTCCTAATAGGTTTGAGTTCTAAGAATTAATCTGCAATATGGTAGATATTTCACATTGTTTGCAAATTTATCCGATGTAGTGACAAATACACAGTGTGTTTTTAAGAAATGTGGAGGAAGAGAACCAAAAGCCCTTTTAACATATAATTCCCCCTACATGCAACCCCAGAGTGCCTTCCAGCCTGCATGATAAAGCAAAGAATGTCCATTAGAAATGGAAAGGGCCTGAAGCCACTGGAGGAGGGACAGCAGAAGTTCACTTGCAGTGTTAGGCTTAGTCATGTTCACTGAGAAAAAGTGAGTTTCCATGGTTGAGCCCAGCACGTGGTGGGCAAGGAATGATGGGCTGATCAAGAAGATGGAGCAGCATTTGCACAAGAACAGAAGGAGCTTGTGCTTACCCTGATAAAATTAAGTCCAGGGATACATGATTCCATGCTTCAAATGTGTATACCCAGAGAGTAAGTGCTAGGGTACTAGAGCTGTGTAATCCATAGGGTGATGTTGGGTTAAGAACAAATGGGTATAAACTGACCATGAATTAAATGTAAATGAAAAATTAGAAGAAGGTTTTTAAAGATAGGAATTCGGGAATGGATTTCCAGTAGAGGCACTGGTAACAGAAAATCTGGCTGCTTCTCTGCCGCAGCTGAAACATGAAATACTTTGTGTGATAGTTGCCTGCAATAAACAAAGGCTTAATCTCAGTGATTTCTGATACTTGTTCTGGTCCCATGTAAATTTTAATGTGATATTAATTTTTTTAAAAATGTTTATTGGTAGTAATTTTGATCCCTGTAGAAGAACTTAGCATGTGGACAGACAGAAATGGTTCAGAAAGTTATTTATAATGTTTATTTCTTATCTATTTAAGCTTTGACTTCTCTCAGTGTGTTCTTTACTTTTTGAATGAAAATTAAAATGTTCCTGGGGATTAAATTAACAGTCATATAAGCTGAAGTCCTGGTATATCAGGGCATCGTGTCCTGAGAGTGTGAAAATGTATCTCAGTTCCGAGTGTAAGGAATTTCTAATGATGCTTAGATGGAAGCTGCCACTTAATTCCCTTTTGATCCTTGTGGAAACTGCTAAACAAGGCAGCTAAGTAATTTCTGTGTTGGACTCATCCTGCCAACTCCGTTTTTGATATATTTGTGTCAAAAGAACTGCAGTAACTTGCAAATGTGCAAAATTTTTCCCCTTGTTGCTCACCTGTATGTGAAACTTTGAAAGTTAAATTTTCTATCTAAATGTTATCTTCTATTTCTTTTATCTTACTGTAGATTCGCTCATGAAAGCTGTTGAGATGTCTTTCTCTTCTTTGCCTTCTGATCTTTTAAGACGATTGGCTCCATTGGGTGGAATAGAGAATTATCTTCTTAAGAGGTTACTTAAAATTTGCAAACAGGCATTTGACAGAAGTCAAGTGGATTACATTCTTACCCAACAAGCTTTATAATTTATTGTCTTTTAAACATTGAAGTGACAAAAATCAGGCTTTTTCGTGAGATTATTACAGCCTGACTTTGTTTCCATCAGTGGGAATTTTACTGTTTGCTTTAATGAAGACAGGTTTAAGGAAAATCCCTTCATCCAGTGCAAATTTATATATTTACTTAAGGAGTTTTGTGATGTAAAAACAAATTTTTACTTCTCAGAAAGCTGTGGATCCATCCTCAGAAGTTAAATCAGTGGCAGTTTCCTTCGCTCTGTATTGCTGTCTGTATCCAGACTGTCAGGACATTTGGGGAAGTATCTGGGAGGACTGCTCTCACTATATTTTAGCTTGGATCACCAAAAATAGAGGAAATCTTATGACAGAACCTTTACCTTTAGTTCTTTTGTCACCTGCTTTCTAAGTAGAAGAGGCTTGCGAAAGCGTTGAATTTCTTCATGGACACATAAGCCACCATTAATCTAGATCCCTTTTTGTCATGCTTCCAAGAGTAGACAGTAGTTGGCACGTTCCACTGGCAGCTCTTTATCCTGTGATAGCTTTGTGCAGCATACTGCTCTGTACATCTATTTATCCTGTTTTTAAGCAATTAACCTCTGTCACAAGTTTTCCGTTGCTTTTCCTCCCCAGCTAAAACCAGAGTACGGCTTCTCAGGTCTGAGGCATTTTTCCAGTCGGCTTCGGAGAGCTCGGCGTGCACAGTAGTGCTGAGCTGTAGCTGGGGACGCAGTGGAGCGAAGGCAGACATGTCTGCTTGGGGTTTGCATCTGAAGAGGAGCTGGAGGCCTCTGACACTGATAGGGGCGAGGCTGCAGCCAAAACCAGGAGGTACAGAGGTCAGACGAGGCAGCTGGCCCAGGAGCGTTGCCGTGCCCTCCTGCCTGCTAAGGCAGTGGCAAGCGGTTAGTCTCCATCGCTGAGCCCGTCTTAGCCTGGTGGCCTGACTGTTGAAGAGCTGCTTCCTTAAGGGTTCGGCTCTCGCTGCCGAGAAGAACCCCCAGTGAAAGGGTAGCTGGGGGCAGCCTTTCCTGCAGTCATCTGTCATCATTTGATGGCTGTCAGTCAGCCCCTCTGAAGCCAGAAGGGCTGGTGGGTTGCCGCACAGGCCAGGGTGCCCTCCTCACGTACCATGGGAGGACCTGTTGGAGGAGGAATGTATGCCTACTGTCAGGGCTGAACATCGATCGGCTCATGCAGAAATATCCCAGTTATTAATTGGACTGCTCAGAAATACCTTTGGTGTACATATGTTCTGGCTGATGTTGTATGAAGGTGCAGGAGAGTGTTTCCAGGAATTGGTTAGTAGCCTCCCTGTGACCTGTTGGTTGGTGGGCTGCAGCACCGTGTTTTAGCCTGTCCTCACAGCCTGCTTGCGGAGCCAGCTGTTGCAGTTGGAGCTCCTGGAAGCAAGGAGGGGTTTCCCTCTGGCATCCACCTATTGCAGAGGTAGCAAAGCACCAACAGCAAAAATGAGCTTAACCAAAATAGGAACCAGGCTGGGTGCGTTAAGTCAGCCGTGAGACACAAGGATCCTCTTTTGAATGGTAACACCACTGCTTTTCTTCGGGTGGAACAGCATGAATGTCTGTCCACAAACTCGAGTATGAGCACATGGTGTTACTGCATTTGGTTGCCATTCAAAGCTGGACTCTGGTCTTTCAGTCCAGATGGATTTATCATCAATTTGTCCACACTTGCCTATCTGTTGCAAGTGTAGCTGATTGCAAGTGAAAATCTTGGCTTCTGAAATCACTCGACTTTGTGAGGTCCTCTTCTTCTTCTCCTGCCCCTCAGCTTATTATTTCTGAGTTGCTAGCATTCATTAGGACCTGGTGGCTCTTTGCAAATGCTGAGTCTGGAAGGACTGTATCAGCGAAAGCACATTGTTGTGGTATGTGCATCATGGGGCACACCTTCGCTTTCAGTCAAAATGGCTTATTTTTGGTACTGTACCGTAGCAGCGTCCAAAGCGAGTGGAAGTGATTCATCCTGCAGCCTCCAGAGGCACAGAGAAGATCAGTGTAGTGCCAGGCAGTTGTTCCTCATCTCATTTTCCCAAGGTAAAGTTGCCTGACCAGAGAAACAGAAATAGGCTTCATGCTACTGCCCTGAAGGAATGTTCTCACAGGTGGGTGCTGGGGACCTCACGCTCAGGCATCATTTTTCCCATTGATCGCCACTGGTGAGAGCACCTCCCTGCTGGAGACCTGTCCTCGGTGGCAGAGCTCAGAGAGTTATACCCCTTCGCTGTTCGGAGCGGACAATCGGGGGACAAAACGCTGCCTTGAGTTCAACCCCTGTAGCCAGCGGGGCCCGCAAACCACGTAGTGACCGGGAAGCTGAAGTTTATTCTCATCTGGTAGCGCTGCAATCGTGATGGCGTTCGAAAGACGCTTTTCTGCTGGCAGCAGGATGGGTACAACTCCCGGTGCTCCTGTGTAAGCACAGCATGTGGGATATTGTTGAGCCTTGCTTCTGGCTGACAGTAATAACACGTTCAGCGTGTAATTAAACAGCTCATAAACTGCCTTGAGATGTTTGTTTATGTGCGCTTTACAGCGGTTAAGTGCTGTGGTTTTGGAGGATGCTGAAATTTCTGTACTGCGCGAAGCGTTTGTATTTGATGTTCAGTTCCCTTTTCCTCGGCAAAAATACCCAGTGACTGGAGTGCGTTATTTTGCTGGCAGTGAAAAAGCATACGGTTAGGAGATTTTCTCATGAATTTCTGCTACTGATTTTTTGATTCCTGTGCGTAAGTTAGATATTGATCTGCATGTGGAGGCATCTGTATCAATATCTATCGCAAATTAATGTTTTTAGATAATAACATGAGTTCATATTTTGCTTGATAGAAACAAAAAAGGCTTGTTTCCAAATCCTTGGTGATAAGCAGAAACACACAGAAATGAGGTAATAGAGTGAGGGCACCATGTAAAAACCATTTTGGTGAGTAGAAGAAGATGCAGTAGGAGAGTATTAGTAAATTTTTACTATTCTCTATGTCATTTGTTTTGTCTTACAGTTTAGAGTGAATGAATTTGGGGCCCTGGAAGTGATTACAGATGAAACAGAGATGGAAAGTGTTAAAAAGGCAACGGCTACCACAACCTGGATGGTTCCAACTGCTCAAGAAGGTCAGTTAAGAGGCAGTAAACGTTTTCTGTGGTAGACTGTATTTTGTTTTAATATATCAGCTTCTCTTAAAGATTGCCCCTCAAAATAAAAACCAAACAAACGAAACTTACTTGCTTTAGTGCACAGAGTATCTCCGATGATCTTACCTGTTTCTTGAAATGAATGCATTTTAAGTTAAAAGAAAATAATTCCACTGTTAAACATCTGAAGTTCAATTTAATTTGCAAAGTAGTCGATTTCTTTCTTTAAACTTTTGAGAATTTTTTTAGATGTTGTTTTTGTAGAGCTGGTTCTCCAGACTGCCCACAGCCTTTACTAACTGCCTACAGTGACCAAAGCACCGCGCGTTGTAAACTGCCTTCACGCGGTACCGGCTGCCGCTCAGCTGCTACCACTGATGTCAGTGTATGTCTGCACTGTTGCCTTGCTCCTGCTGACTGTGCTTTTTTACAGTATTAAAATTAGTGTGTAGTAATCATAGGATCGTTCAGGTTGGAAAAGACCTGTAAGGTCATCAGGTTCAACTGTTAACCTAACCCTGCCATCCCACCGCTAAACCATGTCCCTAAGCACCTCATCTATCCTTCTTTTAAATACCTCCAGGGATGAGGACTTGACTGCTTCCCTGGGCAGCCTGTTCCAGTGCCCGAGAACCCTTTTGGTGAAAAAATTTTTCCTAATGTCCAACCTAAACCTGCCCTGGCACAACTTGAAGCCATTGCCCCTCGTCCTATCGCCCGTTACCAGGGAGAAGAGGCCGACCCCCACCTGGCTACAGCCTCCTGTCAGGCAGCTGTAGGGGGCGATCAGGTCTCCCCTCAGCCTCCTCTTCTGCAGGCTGAACACCCCCAGTTCCCTCAGCCGCTCCTCACAAGACTTGTGCTCCAGACCCCTCACCAGCTTTGTGGCTCTCCTCTGGACATGTTCCAGCAACACAACGTCTTTCTTGTAGTGAGGGGCCCAAAACTGAACACAATATTCGAGGTGCAGCCTCACCAGCACCGAGTACAGGGGCACGATCACTGTGCTCCTCCTGCTGGCCACACTGTTCCTGATACGGGCCAGGATGCCATTGGCCTTCTTGGCCACCAGGGCATACTGCATGTAGGTTTATTTTGAATGATAAAATTCTAATAGTTACGGTATCTGCCAACCAATAAGGTGTTTCCTGGTTTTAAAATACTGATGTAAAGAAACACCTTTTTTGTTCAAGGGAAGTTTGTTTATGTGGTCATAAATTCTGAAAATTTTGATACACTGACTCCAGCAATGTGTAGCATGAAAGCGAGTATCACAACTAGTTTTTTGTTACTTACAACTACCTAGGCTTTTTTCCTTGTTGATATTTTATCAATTTTCTTTTAAAATATGCATTCTGTAAGTCCTTTGAAAAGCAGACGTCAAAATTTGGATTTAATAATCATCAGTATAAGCACAATAAGCAAAGTCAATGAAAGTTTTCTTTTGCTACGCCCCCACCGTTAAGTCTTAATCGTCATGTGACTTTTGTGAATAGATGAAACATTTACACCAGTGGGAAAGAAGTTTGGGCCTCAGCTGGAGCTTCAGGTCTGAAGCTTCAGACCACAGCTTCTCTGTTCTGTAAGTCTGTCTCCAAGGCAATGATAGTTATTCAAGATTCAAATCTGTGATGAGAGTGGCAACAGTGTGGTAGTGTAGTAGCACAACAGGTTCTCTCCTTAGACTGAGAGAGCACAGTTATCTGCAGCAAAGTGTACAACTTCATCCCCTACAGTCTGGTAAACCTAAAAAAAAAAAATAATGTTGCTACTGATTTAAAGTGTATTTATGTGTCTATAAACATACCAAGTAAGCATCCTACTACTACTTTACACTATCTTTGGTGAATTTAATGCTCCTCAAAGATAAAATTATTGCTAAAATTTCCCATTGTGAAAGGAAATTGTTGTTGCAAGCCACTCATGATGCTGGAGTATAAATACAGCATGTAAATTCTATATTTTTCTAGCACACAAGAGTTCATTTTACTCCAATTTCAAGCTAGTACAATGCTCAAGCAAAAGAAATAGTTTGTGACTTGAAATTTGCCTTTTGGGGGTGTGCAAAGTCAATGACCTGCTCTAGAAGCTGGAGAACTTAACAGCGCTTCTTACTTGCCCGTGCGTGAAAGAAACGGTACCCTCTCCTAAGCTATACACCTTGGCTTAGGATGAGTGAGTACCTTAGTATTTGAAAGTTTCTTTGCTACAAATCAGTGATTTTTTTACTTCTGGTAGACCTCAGGCAAGTTGAGCAATAGTTGCTGCTGTGAGAGACCGTAGAATGTAGTCAATGATTTATTTCCAGAAATAAGTTCACCTATTGAAAGATAACTCCCTTCTTACCCCAAATGTTTTTCCCAAATGACCCTCTATATAGGTAAAAAAAAAGGCACGTCAGCAAGAGATGATGGAGTCTGTGCAGTGATGACTCTGTGGGCAGTCAGCATGGTGCTTGTCACAAAATTCACTCCTTCCACGAGCAGCCACAACAAGCAGTGTTGATGTGCCACTGATGACAGAAGCATGAAATTGGTGGATTCAGCTCTCTCCTGTTGCAGTATGAAACCCCAACTTGCTTGTCAGGAGTACAGACCCCCTACAGACACTAACTCCCAGCTCTTCCAACAAGAGTGGCGTGACTTCCGCTCTCCTGTTTGCTTGGCCAGGCCTGCTGGGGGTGGTTGGAAACGTTATCACCTCTACCTAAGTGAATTTACTTTTTTCATTGTGCAGCCTTTTCAGAAAAGACAGGGATCCCCACGAGGTTGAAGGAAACTGCAAAAATGGATGGACTTGTTTTCTGTGAAAACTGCTACCGCTACGGTACCATAGAGGAATTTGTTCCTGAAGGGAAATTTTGCAGCCAGAAATGTGCCCAGCAAGTAAAAAACAAGTAGGTGCTATTGTAAAGCATAGAAACAAAGTATTTGGCATGAATGCAGCATGAGATAAAAGTGGTGGGATAAAACACTAATGGTGGGGAAAAGGGAGATATTAAGTAGACATGTTTTGGTGAATCTCCATCGGTTTATAAGGTCCTTTCACTGTTTTTCATGTACATGCATTAACAGCATTTGGTTTTGTCTAACACTGATGTTGAAGGCAGTCTTTTTTTGCACAGTGTGCTGTGTTCTGCTGTCAGATGCAAGTGGTAAAACAGTCTATGGGATGCATGAATCCATGTCAGGCTCCCACCCTGTTTCATAATCATTGGAATTAGGATAATCAGTAATGAGATGGTTGGTGTGGTAAGTTAATTATAATTAAGTGCAAGAGCTGTGTTATAGATGACAGTGAGTGGAAACATGAGCACACTGTAGTTTCTCAGCTCCTTTTCTTTCAGCTAGCGCAGTTCGTCTCATCATAAAAGAAGGTTTGTGTTAGTATGTCCATTCTGTATTGCATATTACTGCATTACAGCAGTTTTTAACATCTATGATTTTGTACATTTCCCTTCATTTTTAGCTAATTGCTTCAAAGTTTTCTGTTCTGCTTGCTTGTTTAGCAATTTGTACGGTCACATACCAGCTTTCTCCAATTGGATTTGTCAGTCTTAACAACTACCTTTGCTTTCCCTTCAGTAAACTGCCCTGCAGTCCTAAACATTTCACAGTTTGCTTCTGCGTGAGACTTGATGGTACATGGGGAAAGACACACTGTTTAAAACATGCAGAACTTGTTCAGCATAAGCTGACAGCTTTCCTTTTGCAGTTGTTATTGTGTGTCCTTCAGCATAATTCTTCTGACAGATGTAATTTTCAACAGTATTTCTTAAGAATATATTTGGTATAATACCCAGGGACCTACAGACACCTGACCTTCAGATTTACTTGTTTTTTGCTTGTTTTATGAATATGAGAAGTGACATAATATTGGCTTTGTGTCATTGTGTTACTCTTGTAATAGAGAACCAAAGGAGGAAAAGCCCAGTGTGGAATGCAATGGGGAAGACGATTCCAAAGGCATTCGGAAAAGAAAAGCAAAGTTGCCTCTCAAAGACGAGTCCAGGGATAATGGGGAGAAGAGAGAGAATCCTGATGAAACTGTTAGTATGCATCATAAACCCATTCCTGCAAGTATTTTGCTGGGAGTTTTGCCTTATATTGCAATGTCAGTAAATTTCATCAGTCTACAAAAAGAAGTGATGGCATCACTCTATCAGAGCCAGAATAAGTAGTTAGTTCACTTACCAATTTAATTATGCCTCATCAGTACATTGTAATTATTGACAATGAACTGATAAGAGCTGGTTTTTTTTATGTGTTTTCCCTCCTTTAAGAGCAGAACAAAAATAATTTAAAGGAAAAATGATACTAACCTGGACTTGCTATGTCTTCAGCATAGAAAAACAGGAGTATGTATTTCCCAAGACCTGTTACTTTGTCACTCTGCACATGAATAAATGACTATAGACCAATAATTTATTCACAAAGAAGGCTACATTACATTTAAGAAGAGAATACTTTCGATTTTCTTAGTGTAATTTGCCTTAGAAAACGATAGCTAAACATTTGGGTTTGTTTTGTGTTACAGCGTAATGTGCTCTGGGGCACCTTTTGGTTTTTTTCCATGTGGATTTATTCTTCATTTTAGAATAAACTTATCACCGTACCTTCCCATTATGTTTGCTTTCCCATAATATTTGTTTTCTTCCCACTAGCTGTGACACTGCTGGGGAGGAGCAAGGTTTTGAGGGAGAAGGGGAGAGCTCTGCAACTGCTGAATTGTCAAAAGGCTGAAGACACCAGAGCTCTCGGAAGGGAATTTGTAGCTCTCTGTATAGCGGTATCTTAGGCAAAAGTCAGGGGACACCTTCTTTGCCTCTGTGCATCTGCCCTCCCAAATTAGTACTTACTCTGTTCATCTGTTTGGCTGCTAACAAAACTGTTAATATACAAGCAAGGAAATAAATAAAAAAGATCAATGCAGTTTTATATTTAGTAAAGCAATTGTCCATTTGAAAAAAAGCAGACTAAAGCTGTGAGAGGTTTTCCTTTAAATTATTCTGGAAGCATGAATATATCAAAGTTACTGCTATTTATCGCCGGCTCAGCCAGGCCTGCTGAAGGCTTCGTGATCTGTCCCTGGCTTAGACAAGGCTGGCTGGCTGAGTGCCGGCTGTTGAGAGTTCTTCTGTCTGTCATTTTCACCGTGTTTTGCTTTCCCATAATATTTGTTTTCTTCCCACTAGCTGTGACACTGCTGGGGAGGAGCAAGGTTTTGAGGGAGAAGGGGAGAGCTCTGCAACTGCTGAATTGTCAAAAGGCTGAAGACACCAGAGCTCTCGGAAGGGAATTTGTAGCTCTCTGTATAGCGGTATCTTAGGCAGAAGTCAGGGGACACCTTCTTTGCCTCTGTGCATCTGCCCTCCCAAATTAGTACTTACTCTGTTCATCTGTTTGGCTGCTAACAAAACTGTTAATATACAAGCAAGGAAATAAATAAAAAAGATCAATGCAGTTTTATATTTAGTAAAGCAATTGTCCATTTGAAAAAAAAGCAGACTAAAGCTGTGAGAGGTTTTCCTTTAAATTATTCTGGAAGCATGAACATATCAAAGTTACTGCTATTTATCGCCGGCTCAGCCAGGCCTGCTGAAGGCTTCGTGATCTGTCCCTGGCTTAGACAAGGCTGGCTGGCTGAGTGCCGGCTGTTGAGAGTTCTTCTGTCTGTCATTTTCACCGTGTTTGCTGTGATCTGTCACTGATGGCTTGCTTTGTTTTTGTTGGACATCTGCAGGTTGGTTTGAGATAGCAAAGAGCTATGTCAGTAGCCATTTAAATGAAGTCACAGTTAAACCTTTAGTGTCTCAGTTTTTACTGTGCTAGACTTTGGAACTAATGAGGTTACTGTACTTTTTTTTTTTTTTTTTAAATTCAGGAGGACAAACCTGAAGGAAGGATCTTGAGAGTCTCACAGAGAGCCAGGAGAAAAAGAAAAGGGGAAATAACAGTTTTGAAGCAAAGTAAGTTAAATTATGAAACAAAAATCTCAACTGTCAATTCTTTAAGTAATATCCATACCTTAGTTTGAATTGTCAGCATTGTTTCACTGAATTTGTATTCCCTATTGAATACATTTTTTTCAATTCTGTAAAAAGAGTTATTTATAGCAATTAAGTTTTAAGGATTGAACAACTGAGAATGCCAAGTGAAAACCGGGAAAAAACCCATCAGTTGGAGATTGACTCCCTTTTAAAGAGAGCCAGTTTACATACCTCTGGCAGCGTGGAGTAGGATATAGTGAGTGTAAACATAATTGATGCACATTTTAGGGGTTTTTTGAAACCCTCCAAAGAGTCCCGGTATTAAAGGGAATTGGGCCCATTGAGTTCCCAGATGTTGAAAGACATGTATTAAGCAGAAGTGAAAGTTTACTTTTGTCTCCTTGGGGATCAATCTCGTATCTACAGGATGTGCTGGAAGTAGACACATTTATGGAACTGTTTAGGAATAATTGCTATAATCAGTCCATAGGGACATAAGCTGCATCAAGCGGCGTAATAAAACATATTTTAAATGAGTGCTGTTTTTTCAAGCTGTTTGTATGATAGATACTTTTAGGAAGAATGGGAGAATCAGCAGCTATTATACCTCAGTGGTAAACCAAGCACAAACCTACATCGTGCCCTCCAAAGTGTTTCTTACGGTACACTGGGAGCCATTACCAGAAGTTGCTGGGCCACTAATCAGCACAGAGCTCCAAGTAGCTCTGCTGCACGCTAGGCAGATGAAATACTGACTGCAACACATAAAAGTTACGGAAGATCCCCCTCCTGAGATAGAATTACTCCTGAAATATAAATATTATTTCTACAGTTGTTTCCAAAGCGGAGGTGATAAGAAGTATGTGAGATACAAGCACAAAGCTGATGCTCTGTGGAAATCACTGCTGTCCACTGACAGAATTATCTGTACAGATTTCTTCTGTTTTTTTTTTATTTGGGAAAATGTCAGTTGAGCACATGAGATTTGGTATAAAAGACCAATTTATATTCAAAACCAAGCACACAACTGTGTATTATTGTGCTGAATAACACATCTCTTAAATGGAATAGATAAAAACTGGGTAAATCACAAATAAAATGAATGCACTTTAATAGTGTTGAGCTATTGCTGTCATTCTGAAATTTGTTATCTTTTGGTTACGTTATCAGCTCTCTTCAGGAGAGTTTGGCATCACTGTTGTTATGGTTCATGTTTTAGTCATAAAAAAGCTTAGCCAGACTGTTACTTAAGGGGCTTATTTCTCTTGTGAGTAGCCCACAGTCAGGATCAGGCCAGAATCATACTGTGGACAGTGAGAAATGGAAGCATGAGCTTATGGTCTGAAATGCTAAGCTGCGTGGGCAGAGGAGGCATTTTAGGTGGAGATCAGCAGAGCAGAGTGGAGGTGTATGAAAGTAGATCTGTACATGGCCAGCCTCACAAGCCATCTGTTTTTGAAGTTCCTGGGTTTTGCTAGTGCAGTTAGTGCCTTATTTTCAAGGCGTAAAAACTGTTACTCACTGATGTGACTGTAGCCAATATTAAGATGGACTGTGGCCAATATTATGATTACTGTGCAAGCATATGCAAGCGTTCATGCTATGTGAGCAAACCTGAAACTGGAGGTTTCTGTTATATGCTAATGACGCGATGGGGGAAAAAAGCCCTGGTGACAGTTTTGATGGCTTGGAGAAATTAATGTTAAATCACTGCCTCTCCATCCAAAACCAACAAAGTGGTGGAGTAGGTTAGAAACATTCTGAATACGGTTAAGGAATAAAGTATTTCAACTGTGATTAAAAAAACATATTACAAGTGTTACCTGGTTGAAAATGCTTTCCAGGAAAATAAATTCTTGGGGGGAAAAAAAAATCTAAAATATTGAGCTACTTTGTGATTTGAACTGATCTTTTTACACATTTGCAAATTGTATATCTTAATGCTTCTTATGAGCAATAGGGGAAAAGGGACAGAGGGCAAATCTTTGTAAGTTGCTCTCGTCACCTGAAAAAGTTTTTTCTTGTTACTAAGCAAGATTTGAACTGCTGGAAGCTTTTCTATACAAACCAGGAACCTTTGTGTTCCTGGTGCTGTTAAACCCACAGATCTACTTCTTTTCCTGAAATAAGTCCTGAGAAATGCCATGAATGCATTTAATAAAAAGTAGATTTGAGATAGGTATACTATAAGCTTCAAAGTGTGGGGTTGGGTTATTTTTTTTTCCTTGGGAAGTTAACAGTTACAGAATTCTTTTGCCATTGTGTGCTTCTTTACAGCTGTACCCTCTAAAGGAAGGCAAGCATGGTGTTGGGCATCCTATCTGGAGGAAGAAAAGGCCATTGCAGTACCTACTAAGCTTTTTAAAGAGGTAGGACCTTCTGAAATTTAAATCAGTCAACCACCTAAGATCATGAAATTTCTAGGAAATCAGTTTAAAAAAAATTTGAAGATTTTGCACTTCTGTGGGGGAAACCCTACATGATTAAAATAATGCTGGATTATAATAATAATGATGGATTAAAATAATCCATCAGCAATCGTCAGGGTAGTCAAAACATGTGAAATCTTTCTCTGCTTTTTCGGAGAATTCTCTAGTTGTAGATGAATGCTGTCAACTAAGACTACAGAAAGCAGATGCTTTTCCAAAATCTGCAAGTTCTAGCCTTTCCTTCTAATCTCTGAAGCTAAAAATCTGATACATACCCTCATTTTTTTCATGCCATATCACTCTCTTCAAATACATTTAGAAAGGTGCTACAATGGTCATCTCTTGGCTGTTGCTTTGATTATATTACCTGTCTTTGTGTGGCTCCTGCTGACATTATGTTTTGTTACTACATCAGATACTAGTTTGGCTTGTTCCCATTTTGCCTGTCATCTGATTGGATGTCACATCGTCGTCTCTTGCTTGTCCTTTGCCTGCTATGGTAGTCTTTGTCATTTGTCATTTCAGTGCTTTCTCTAGCACTGTCTCTCTTGCTTGGAAGAGAGCTCTGTATGCAAATCCACAAAGCTTCCATGCTGTTCTCTTCTCTTGAAAAACCTGGCAAAACACATGAATGTGTCTCAGCTGCTGTACTTCTGCGATGTGTGTCTGGTATTATTCTTTGATAATTCTGTTCTTGCTTGTGGTCTGTTTCTTGCATCCATTTCTTCGTGTTTGCTTTGTACTTTAACTACTACATCTTTTGTGCAGGGATTAGCTTTTCTTCTTACGTGTGCTTGTTATGCTGACCTTTAATTGGTGCTTTTAGATGTTACTGAGGTACAAAAGTAAAGAACTAGGATTGCAATGCACAGAATCTATAGGTCTGTAGGTGCAAGAACAACAGTTACCTGACCGTCCTTAGTTAAACCGCCCTTTGCTATATACTGGTTGAAAAATTAACAAGAAAAAATTCTGGAAGGTTGTTGCTCTGCCTATCTGAAGTTTCGTGAAGTGTGGCACACAGACACATACCAGCCTTTCTGGGCGCTGCACACTGTTGTAAAGTCTGGAGTGCTGTGGCGACGTATTGTTTCCTTTATTTTTCTCCACAGTGTACTTTTCTTGTTCAGTGCATCTTATTTAATATTTTCTTTTAACGTCTTTAGCCCCTGGGTTACTCTAAGGTTTTATTTAGCATTTAGTATTTAGAGCCTGTAGCATAGAGAGAATTCATAACAACACTCAGAAGTGGCTAGGTAGTATTTCTCCATTTTACAGATGGACAGGCCAGCCACAGGAACCACTTAAAAAAACCCCAAAACCCAAACATCACCACCGATTTTGAATTGTTGATTTCCGTTTGGATTGTGAGAATTACTCTTATTTTTTCAGTTCAGAAGCAGTACTTTTCACGGCATTTTTTCGTACCCTTAGTTAGGAATGGTCAGGATAATGGAGAGTCCTTACTGGTTCCTGGTACTTAAATCTGAGAGTCGTTTCTAGGCTGTGACTAACAAGCTGTTATTGCTCCAGTAAAACAAAATTATTATTGACTATTGAATTTTCTTTTTTTCAGTCTCTGACTCCCCTGATGTAATCTTTTGGGGTTTATGTATATTCCTGCACCATACATAAACATTTCTAATCCTCAGTCTGCCGTCTGCTCGTTTGCTGACTCCTTTTACCTTTACTCTTACTTTGTTCTTGTATCTCTCCTTAACAAAGTTATCTTGTAAAGCTCATGTGTGATTACTAAGTTTGTCATAGCTTTACCTTGGGTGATATATTGAGAATAATGCACAAAATTGAAATCTGTTAAATAGTATTGAAGTTATTAGTCTTCTAAAAGTTGCCTGTTATTTTGCTTTAACAGAAACCAAACTAAAGATTGTGTTGCCTTAGAAGTTTTAGATTTGACAAGGGGAAGAACGGTGAATAATTTGCGTCTTAAATGTCAGGCAAAACCTGTGTGATAACTGCTTAATTCTTGGTGTCTTGTTTGTGGAATTTTGTACTGTCTATACAGGAATGTTTATTGTTATAATGAAAGAATAAACAGATCTGTGACTTTTTAATTGTTTCCTTTCTTTGTAATTTTATTTGTGCTTGCTTTTGCAGAATACCAGTTACATTTTTGGCCACTGTTCCTCAATGTGTCAGTATTTCTAGCATTTCAGTTTTCCACTGAGGTTTTGTATCTGTAAGGTTTTATGATCTAGAGGGCATTAACTGCAAGTCTGTGCACCAAGATGAACTTTAAAAGTTTCAGTTTATTGATTTTTTTAAAAAAAGTTGCTTTTAAATTCCTCTTGAGGAAGTATCTAGAATTACACATCGTGTAACTTCATTAAACTTTCATTGGTAATAAAATGTTAAGTGTGGTGATGTTAAGATGGAATAACTTTTCAGATGCATGTACTGCAGTCAGATACTCTGATCCCTTAACTCAAGTCTACAAAATGATCTAAGCTATTTTTAGATAGGGACTCAGAGCTGCGGTTAGACATCTATTAAGTCAGCCTAAAGCAGCCAGCTAAACTGGTCTGGTTCTCCATTTCCCTTCCCTTTGACTCCCTATTCCTGCTCTTGTGCCACGCACTGCATTTTTTTCTCCTGGGTTTATTATTCAGTTCTATCAGTTGCAGCCAATGCCACCAAAGAGAGGATTCTCTTCTGTGCAGTTAGGGTGGGACCTCTCTGAGTGCCTCCCTCGGTATCCTTCTCTTCCCATTGAGTGCCGAGGTACTGCAGATGGCTAGGGAGCTTGTGTAGCTTTTAGGCAGGGACATACAAGCTGCTTCTCCTGTGTTTTGTCTGTAACCATTTGGGACATAAAAACTGGCTGTGAACTTCATAACCCGTGGAAAACCCTCTTCCGTTTCAGTCAATTATTTTTCTGATATTGCCTCCAATTTAACCTTAATACCTGCTAGCTTCCTTCTTTAACAGAGGGCAGGGAGAATGATACATGGGATGCCGATGCCTTCTGATTGAAAACATCTGCTCTGCTTAGCCTTGTTTTCACTTTCTGTTTTTTGAGAGATGTTTTTCTGGGTTCGTTGTAATGTGATATAAGGGTAGTCATGTTCCTGTGGTGCAAAAATATTCCTGGAAGACTAGCTAATCTGTACTCAACATATAAAGGAGAAAATTACGTCAAAGAAGCCACCCCGATATACAAACAGTGTTTTGTATTTCTGCCTTACAGTTCATCTTTGATGGCCTGAGATGGGGAAATGAAAAGGCAAAAGAGAGCCTCATTGTGATTATTATAGGAATGATGACCACTAGGAATGTGTAAAAGTGTCACTGTACAGGCTGAAAAATAAATAATTACATTGTTAAAAATAAATAATTACATTACATTGTTAAAAATAAACCATTACATTGTTAAAATGTTTTGTTGACAGTGAAAAAAGTTGAGGGCAAATCATGTCATCTTCTTTCCCTTAATTAACTTTTCTGCTAATTCCTTACAATTTTCTTACATACTCTCAAGTTTTAAGTCATTCTAGTATCAACGTGTTTTTCGAACAGTCATCAATTTCTCTTTTCCACTGTATGTTTTTAAAAATGCAAAACTTATTTTAAAGTGATTTATTGGTACTGTCAGAAACATGAATAGTAAATAATTGTTGTTCTTCTCCTTATAAAGATATTCTTTCTCTGGTATACTTTCAGAAGTATTGAAGCTGTCCTTTTCCATTGCAGTATCAGTCTTTCCCATACAACAAAAATGGATTCAAAGTAGGGATGAAGCTGGAGGGCGTGGATCCCGAGCACCAGTCGATATACTGTGTTCTCACGGTGGCTGAGGTAAGCAGGGGCTGCGAGCAGCCGCGGTGCAGGATTACAGGAGAGACTGAACCAAAACAGCAGCAGCCGAAAGTGCTCGCTCTTCCCTAACAAGCAGACAGAAACTGTATGTAGGAAGATGGCTTTTAAATTAATAACGCTCTATTAAATCTACCTGACAGACGTGTAAAGACTATATCCAGTGCCATGCAGCAGTGACTATTTTCATATATTTAACATATGCAGCTAGAGAAAACAGTATTACGCTATTTGGGTGATGTGTGTTTTTTCTGTAATCCTGTAGTTTATGCTGAAAAGAGAAAATAAGTAGGAAAAACATAACTATGACAACTGATATATAGCAGTTTTATAGAAACTTGATAGTATACAGTTGCTCCATTCACTTATACAAATACCTAACACTTTTTGTGTTGCAGTTGTGCTACAATTGTTTCAGGCTGATGGCCTCAGAAATTGCCTGTATTGGCAACTTCTACAAGTTAGTATACAATATAAACTCAGTTTGTCTTTTTGCTGCAGTTTATGAAATATTTTTCCGATGAGTGGCTTGTTTGATTTTAATATTATAAATGAGAACCCATTTCTCAGTTACATTTTGTATGTCTTTCAAACACACATTAGTTTTTATGCAGTTTTACTGAGGATCCTTTTTTGGTTTTGTTTAGTGAATTAAAATGGGGAAACAGGATAGGTAGGTACTCTGCTCTGTATCACTGGTATTCTGGGCAGCTGTGATTCTGTGGTTTATATTTTAATAGTCTAGATGTATGTGTTCCCATTTCTGGATCTCTTCTTGGCCCATAGTCACATCCCATTTCTGTGGATCTCTCTTCCAATTTCTTGTGGATGGTGTGTCAGTGGTTGAGCATTTCCTGCATACCTTGTACTTGGCACTAAGTGATGGGTCATGTTTTACTGCAGGATGACTTGAATTCCACAGAATTCTGAGGTGGCAAACAGAAAGTTATGTCAGAGTAGAAATTAAATGTAAAATAGGATGACCTTGATGTCAAGAGATTTTCACTGATGACTGCAGGAAAGTTATGGCTTTTGGCACTCAGGTAGATGTGGAGAACTTCTGTACAGGAGAGGGATTATGTCCTGTTTTAACATGGAGTGATGAAGTTCTGGGGAATACTTCCACTGACTTCTCATCCTGAATAACAGTTCTCAGTATCTCTCTGGAGAGCCCTGTTGAACAGTTACTGTTGAGTGCTCTCTTGCATATTGATTCATCGGGATAGCTTGAGAGCCTCATTATCTGTGCTTTGTTCATGATTGTATCAGATGCATTCATGCTCTTTTGTAGGGTGTCTGTTTTATTCTGATGTTGGGTTGAACAGTTATCAAGTTTTTGAACACTAATGGCAATATCGAGCTTTTAGTTAAGTCTTTTCACTGGAAGAGGAGGCACTCAGATTGAGAATAGCTTTGCTTTTTTATTCCTTCCTTTTTATCAAATGAATTTATTCATCCAGTGTTGGCTTGAGCAGAAGTAAAAGGCTGACTGAAAACACACTGTAGTTATACATAATACTGAACAGAAGCTATTATGTGTAGGGCAAACATCTTAAAATATAGTATTGTATGTTGTATGTTCTTGGTTTTAGGTATGTGGCTATAGAATACGACTCCATTTTGATGGATACCCAGATTGTTACGATTTCTGGGTGAACGCTGATTCTTCAGACATTCATCCTGTTGGATGGTGTGAGAAAACAGGTCACAAGCTGCATCCACCTAAAGGTATTGTTTAGTTTGAAATGTGTGTTTTCCATAACTCTGAGATCAAGACTATCTGTGTAATGCCGTAATTATTTTTTTTTGGCAGAAATCTTTTTGTTCATTTAGCCAGAGTATTTGAACATGGCAAATTAAACCCTACTTGACGTCTTGCTAAAATCTTGAGGTTGAAATCCTACCTTTTTTATTCAGTGGAAATTCAGAAAAAGCAAGAAACTAAAATAAACTGTAAGAGTAATTCATGAAGTACTAGGAAGTAAGTTAAGCAACAAACCTAGACCTCAAATGAATGCTTATTGCAAGTAAAATGGCAGCATACTGGTGATGTGTGTGCTTAAACTGAGGTCTGACAGGCAGCTGAGAATCCTTTAGTAGAAGGTCTTAGGATATTTTCATTACTGGATATTGATCACCATGATTATGCATGTGTTGGCACAGACTATTAAAGATTGTGCTCTTGCCGCAAAGGGTAAGTTTGAAATAGGGACAAAAGAGGAATGAACAGATAAGGAGGTAGAAAAAAGGGTAAGGTTGCAAGCCTGAAAGCATAATTCGTACATAGCTTATATAAATGGTATGCGTGTGTTGAAATATGTGTAATTTTCTTGCTTAATTATTCTATTTCAGATTATGTAACTCCTTTGTTTTGGCAGATGGGGTATGTCTCCAATGAACTGTACCATAAAAAAAGGAATACATGAGTTCCCTTTTGGGGTAGGAAGGGAATATGTGGGTAGGAAGGGAGCAAGTCCTGAAGACAGGACAGTGAGAAATAAAAGGATGTGGTGTTTTGACATACAGAGCGAGGGTAGGGTAACGTGGTTTTGAAAGGCCGCAAAATGATGAGCGTACAGTCAAGAGGATGCATTATGGAGAATTACAAAACTGTGGATGTAACTGCTAGGGTGTGGAAGGTGAGAGTAAAGCCACTGAAAGTGTACAGGCAGGGGGCCTGCCAGTGTGGAAGGGGGTGGTGTTTCTACCCCTGAGCCTTGGAGGAGCAAGAAGGAGCATGTGCTGCTCTTCTGAGCCCTCTGCGAGCTCCTCCCTGGGCACAGGCAGGAGTACTCTGTGCTGCTGCTCCAGTACAGGGGTTTTCACTGGACATAGTTCTACGTAACTGGCTGTGCAGAAGTAGCAATTTCTTGAACATAAATCAGAATTTCTCAGAAGGTTGGCCTCCACTGAAGTAGTAAGTTATGTGTAGCAAACGAGCAGTCCCCAGTTTCAGAGTTATTGATGTTATTACAGCATGCTTAGGAAGTTTTATATCTGTGATGAAGGTTTGTCATCTTTTCCATCTTAAATGCCTGGTTTAGAAAGCTTAAGCTTTTGTTAACAATGAATTATCGCTGCTGGAGGAAAACTACTGTCCGAGTCCCTCTCATGAAAAGTTTCTTCAGTTTCTCTTCTAGTTTTAAGTCGGTGGGAAGATTGTTCTTTTGTGTTTATTTTTTTTCACCATACCGAAGCGGTGGATAGGTCTTTTACTTAAGAAAGTCGTGGAGCCTATCAGGTGTTGAGGGAGACAAGTTAGGAGGGTATATGATGGTAATTCTCAGGGTTCTGGTTATCACCCTGCACAGCTATGTACTCTTACCATCCCCAGGACATATTCTTCATTTTGAATAGCAAGGCTGTTCTCTGGTATTTTTATCCAAGACCTGCAAAGTGCTCTGCCCTTTGCATGGCTTGGCCCTGTCTCTTCACCTCCATGGTAAACCGTTTCATTGTTGATGAGGTATGGTGCGATTGCTGAAACCTGCTCTTGTACTTGTGGGACTTCTTCTGTTGTCCCAGTGCAAGCCTGGGGTGCACCAAACCCCGCAGAGCCAGCCAGTCAGAAGAGGTGATTATCCCCCTGTATTCAGCGCTGGTGCGGCCTCACCTTGAGTACTGTGTGTAGTTCTGGGCCCCACAATTTTAGAAGTCTGTGAAGGTCCTTGAATGTGCCCAGAGAAGGGCAACAAAGCTGGTGAAGTGGCTGGGAGGCATGTCCTGTGAGGAGCAGCTGAGGACTTTGGGCTCGTCTAGTTTGGAGAGAAGGAGGCTGAGGGGTGACCTCATTGCTCTCTGCAGCTTCCTGAGAAGGAGACATGGAGAGGGAGGTGCTGAGCTCTTCTCCCTGGGATCCAGTGGTAGGACACGAAGGAATGATTCAAAGCTGCGCCAGGGGAGGTTTAGACTGGAAGCAGTAGGATGCATTTCTTTACCGAGAGGGCGGTCAAACACTGGAACAGGCTTCCTAGAGAGGTGGTCGATGCCCCAGGGCTGTCAGTGTTGAAAAGGCATTTGGACAGTGCCCTTAACACCAGGCTTTACCTTTTGGTCAGCCCTGAAGTGGTCAGGCAGTTAGGCTAGATGGTCGTTGTAGGTCCCTTCCAACTGAAATAGTCTCTTACATTCTACTTAATGAATTATGTAATTCCAGTTAGCCTTCACATTACATGTTCATAAATTGACTGGAAATTAATAAAGCCCACAGTTTTAGTTCATGAATACTGTTTTGTATCTGCAGTCACTAAATCAAATTAACCTTTGGTCCTTTTTTGAGAGATGAGGTAGGAGCTAGAGATCTTCCTTTCTCATGTGGTGGCTGGAAGACCCGTGCTGTCCAGAAACTGTTTCACAATCTACTGAAACCAATTATTTTTTTCTATGGACTTTGTCCCAGTACCGGTACCTGATCCCATCACACATGCAGTAGGTGGGAGTTTTGTATTGTCAACTGTGAGCTTTGAGCTAGGTTTGAATATCCTCTAGAATTACAAAGGGAAAATTAAAGCCTCGATACCACATTCCTTTAAAAAATTATTTTAACTGGTCTACAGTGGTAGTGCATCAAGACAAGAGGCAATTGGAATACAAAGAAAAGTATTATTGTTTGGACTAGGAGGTTAATTTATGTTAGCTGATATTTAAAATTAAATCTGAGAAAGGCAGATGTGGAGAAGGTGAAGTTAAAGGATTCTTTACTTGTTCCTTGGAAAATACAAGATTCTCAGAAAGTTAAACAGAGCTGTTGTCTGTGGCATATTTGAGTAACACTTCAAATAATCGAGAGGTGACACGTTTCAGTAGTTCAGGCAATCACTCAGTGAAATTGGTGGTGGTTTTGATCTTGTTTTACTGGATTGTAACATATCAACTAAAATAGATGTTCCTGTAACTATTATTTAGCAGGCCAATAAAGGAAGAAAACTATCTGCTTACAACTCTTATTGCTTTATAGATTAAAAGTACAAATGGCTTCTTGCGAATTATTTTATGCAGTTCAATATACTATGAATTATTTTATTTTTTGTCTAAGAAACTAGAAGAGGCGAACTATCAACAGAAATTTAGATTTCTGTCCCAGGTGCTGTACGCATAGAATAAAAAACGCAGAAAATGCGTGTAGGCGACAGTTTACACTGTAAATGCTTAAGGGGCATAAAGGCATTTTTTTTGTTAGACTGACTGGCATAGTGGGAAGAGCTTGGGGGCCTGTAGGCCCTTTGCTGTTTCTGAAGACTGAAAAACAGCTGGAGAGCACCTGCCCTGAGCTTGTTGGCTGTGCGTGTGTCAGTCAGACCACCAAAGGGAAGTTGGTTGGTACCCACGAGGCAGAGAGGTTGCAATGTGCAGTTTTCTTGGGGAGAGACAGAGAGAGGTGACTTGGAGCCTGGGCCACTTGGAGAGATTTGTTTGAAGGGAGGGAGATTATAGTATAAAGCTGGTATCTTACTGAGACTGATTTTTGATACCTGGTAGATTTACAGATTTTCATTTCTAGGCTCCCCCTAGACATTCTGCCCCTTAAGGTCCTTCAGTTTCCTTCATGGCCAGGACTGCGAGGCTAGAGATGAGGGATAGAGCAGTGATTTTGTAAGGAATGCTCCCCAGATTGTTTTGAAGATGAAATAGGAGATTTCAGCTCAGTTTCGGAGCTCTTGCCTAGTGCTTTCTTTATATGACATTCTTCTTCCCAGATGAAGATCAGGAACAGTTCAAACATCAGTCCTAGCCAACTATAAGAAACTAGTAATGTGCAGCTCAAAAAAGTAGAGTATATTGCTCAGCAAGTATAAAGAAAGCTTGACATTTTGGTAAGGAAGCTCAGCCAGCCCTAAATAAAGAGCATGATTCCTCTTTGTAATACCAGATGCCCAAATAAAAATAGAAAAGCTTCATCAACTTTCTTTTGGACTCTATAAACTTCTCTCAAGTGTGTCCTGCTAACATTTCTAATAATCCAAACCAGTGCTCCCTCAGCGACTCATGGAGTTCACGTTGGGGTAGAATTAATAAGTAGTTTTAAAGTAAATGTTCCCAGTGTCGTTTATATAAAATTAGAATAAATAGTTAACAGTGCATAATCTTTTCAGTTTTGAAGTTGTAAGAAACAGCTCAGAACTGGATGGAAAAAATTATTTCATCGGTCATGATCAAATCACCTGCATGCCTTGTGTCTCATGCCTATCCTTTCTTGCCCTTTTATGACCCTCATTTAGGGTATGAGGAAGAAGAATTTAGCTGGCCCTCATACCTGAAGGCATGCAAGGCTCAAGCTGCTCCTAAATCACTGTTCGAAAACCAGAATGTGGTAAGTACTCACTTGTTGCTAATGGTGTGGAAAGTTGCTAGTATTGTCATGTGTGTGGTAGAGACTCACAGCACATTTCAGTGATGGCAGACTTGAGACTTGGGATTTAAGATGAAGATGTTTACCAACAAATTAGTAACAATCTCCAGTTCACCTCTGCAATTCTGATCCATTAATTTTTTACTAAGATGTTTGAACATCTGATCCAGCACATTCAGAACTGGTATATTAAATGAAATTTAAGACCTGTTATTAGTACTGTCTCTTGCGCCATAATGTTGTGGACAAGCAGAGTCTTTCAGAGAGAGTATCTACGACAGAGTTAAAACCAACACATTTAATTTTAGCAGCACGTTTAGGTCTTCTTTATTTCATAAACCACAAGTGTCTGTTTGAGCATCTCTCATGTCTACTAATTAGGCTGCTGCCACTCTGTTGGGGCAGCTAATTGGGAAACTTAAAAATTACATGAATATATTGATTGGGGACACCGGCGAGATTTCTGGGTTTATAGTTTTAAATGTCTTTCTGTATGTAGACAGTGATTCCGTCAGGATTTCGAGTGGGGATGAAGCTGGAAGCTGTAGACAAGAAGAACCCGACTTTCATTTGTGTTGCTACGGTAACAGACATGGTGGACAATCGTTTTCTGGTTCATTTTGACAACTGGGATGAGAGTTACGACTACTGGTATGATGTTTTTGTTTTGTGTCCTAGTGAGATGTATCAGAAATGTGTTAGCTTTAAGCGCTATTTTCTCTCATGCTTTCCAGACTATCAACAGAGTTACCATACCAAATTGTGCTAGATTTGTAATTGTGGCCACCAAAGTGTGTCTTGGTGGCAGATTGGAGGACTGAAATTTCCCATGTCAGGTTGCACATAAAAAATTTCAAGACTGTGCTAGATGAGTGTTCGCGTGTGCTGCTCCATCTGGAGTTGTGGATTAATTTCTCATTTCAACTGTGTAGTAGCTCTGAAGTTGATATCTTTAGTGAAGAATATGCACCATGATAATGTGACTAATTGTACTTGGAATTAGGTTTACATATAGTTTTAAATTGAAAGAAAAGCTGCATTTTTTCATAAGGTTCTTGATACACTTATGTTGTTCAGACCAAACCTTAGCCATCTTTTGAAAGGTATCAGGATAGTGGCAAAACCTGGTTTTAGTCTTTTGTGTTCTACATTCCTCTGAAAATTGGGATCCTGCTGTCCTGACCTGTGTTAGAGATAACCTTTTGCATGTTGTATGGTGGAGGGCTTTGTGTATCTACATAGAAAAGTCAGTGGATGGAGCAGGACATCCTACGAGCATAAGGATACTGAAGGAAATTCAGGCCTTGGCTGTCACAGTGCAGGTTTGTATTTGCACTCGCATCTTCTTTTGGCAGATCATTTAGAGCAAAGTAATATACCTTACGTTCTTTGAAAAGTAAGTTACTGCAGAACAGATAGAGCATTGTAAGCCTGTGTCTTGGGTTTGGCAGTGGCAACTTGATGGTGTGGCTGAGCGTGTAAAAATAAAAACGTTTTCTTCATCTGTATTGATGACTGCTTAGGCATTACATCAATGAGAATAACGTGAAACTATTATGTAACTTCAAAACTTTGTGAGTCCATCTCTTGAAATAACAATTCCATGGGCTACGTGACAAATAAGTTGTAGGAGAACTAAATTATTGAAGCAGCAGTGAGCAGGCACTTCAGCGAAGTCAAGAACTGAATATCAAGGTAATACGCCATGTGAGTCAAAGACCAGAAAGATTAGTGATTATTTCCATGAAGAAGTAATACAAAACATATATTTCCTCTACAAAGTAGCAGGAAACTGGGGACTGGGAAAAGGTATTCTGAATTTCCTGGTACTTGAATGCTCACTAATAACAGTTATGCTGTTAATTAATAATGAAAACAGCAGTTAAGCAAGGCTTTTAGGGCAAACACAATGCAATATAACCTGTAGTTTGTTCAGAGGTAGCATAGGTATCTCCCTAAAACATTGCACTGTGTATAGCAGATGTACACTGAATTTCAGGCTTGTTAATATTCCTACGTCAACAGGAATTTTGTTCACCGGTCTCCTCTGAAGAGGGAAAAGCAGTTTTTAAGTACGTAACTAGGCTTTGCATTTTTGCAGTCATAGTATTCTGAAGTGGGTTTTCTGAATTTCGTATGTAGTATACATGAAATAATACCTTCTTAAAGGATGAGGGAAAACTGAAGTGGAAAATGTATAGGTATTTGAAAAATCACTGGATCTGTATTTATACTGAAGCCAAGCTGAAGGTTTGTTCTTCTGGTGAAATCGTAAAATACCTTTCTGGAAGGAGCAAGAAGATGCTGTCAGAATTATTGTGCATGGAAATTAAGTTCTGGGCGGTGTGGCCTACCTCTCTGCAATGCTGTGACTGAGAACAAGAGTGAATAGAGGAGGAAGGAAAGGAAATGAGAGTAGCAGTGGAATGTCCAACCGAAAGAGAGCCTGAAAATACATCCTGAATACATCCCACTTACAGTTTTAATTTTAGATACCAGATTTGTAGGGGCCATAAAACATCTTAGGTGCTTAAGTTTCACATCTACCAACTGGTGCGTGGCACTAAAAATTAAAAGTTCTGTTGAGATTACCCAGAGCCTCATAGTCTCCCTGCGCCTGCATATAAATTTCAATCTCAGAATTATAATGAAGGAGAAATTATGTATTTAGTGTACATAGATGATTATTTTCAAACAAGTACTTTGTTTTTCTGTATACGTTTTGTGGTTTAGTTACTTTGAGTAGATTTAAATTTTTCATTGAGGATAAAAATTCTTTCCTCTCCTTGGATAACTAAAAGACAGTTGACTAATTTTACTGGACTCTAGGCAACAGTTCGACCTGAAGGTACTCTTCCTGACTTTTTCCTTAATGGTTGAAAATAAGTACGCTGGCTAGAATTAGTCATTACTACAGCTCTTTAATGCATGGTGGTGATACTTTCAGTGTATTATAAATCCCGTTAAATTATCCCTTGGCAGTGGCTATTAGAGGGAAGAAGAGTGAACAAAATTGACAAATTTAAGTCTTTCCTTCAGGAAGGAGAATTTTGACCTGTACAACACAAACCATCAGGTCCTTTCCATCTGTCCCATCTTTTTTGATGTAACAAGTAATACTTCATTGAGAGCCAAAGGCATTCCCTCTAAGTGGAATTTCCATATTTTCTTATGGTTGTCTGAATTGGGAAATGGCATTCGGGAATCTTTGGCTATGTCTGAACTATGAATTAACTGCAGGTCCACGCTGACTTTCAGTTCTCCGTTCTCTTCCATCTGTTCTGCTTAGACACAGATTTACGTCGCCTCAGCTTTCTAATTTTTTTGTGACTAAACCCAAACACAGCCAGAGCTTGCGCAGGAGGTGAAGCTGTGCTAGCTTTTGCCTCTTGTCCAGAGGAGAGATGGAACGATGGTGCTCAACATGCTGCAGCCCTCATCCTTGGTTTGATTTGGACTTCCCCTGCAGAGAAGGTGCTACAGTCAGCTTTTGGGGTCAGCTTACCAGGAGTGTGAGAGAATACCATGCCCCATGCTTCACTCACTAATCTGTTCCTGTTCATCTTGCATAGAAAAAACAAGTTCTAAAGCGCCTTGCGAAGACAAATCAGCTCTTGATTTTCTGAACTATTTTCTAATCTGTCTGAGTTTTGGAACAGGCTGGACTTTGGTATGAGCTTGAGGCCAGTTCTGCTCTCCACCAGCATCTTCTCCTTTGCTAACAGCCAAGTCCTTAAAAGTTGCACTCTGCTTGTTTCATTTTTGAGATAATTAACTTTGCTGCACTCTGTCTTTGAAAGGAACAGTCTTTCTGAAGGGGTTATATTATGTCAAAAAGAAGATAAAACCATCTTAAAGAGCCATGAATCACAGTGCATGCTTTTAACTATTTAAATGGATAACGGCCTGTTATCTGACCCCAGAGTTCTAAAATTTTATGCAAATCACCATGCAGCTGTCTTATCAGACTTTAAATAGAAAATATGGTAATGTGGCTTGCTGTACCACCTCTGGATGCATACCATAACCTCATGGACCACATTTTGGGAAGTCCTGACCTAAAATAATACCAGCTTTACACTTGTCAGTGATGAAGTATTCTCACTTATGCACTAGATGGGGCTGCAGGATGGTTTCTATGTTTTTCTTTCTTTTTTTTTTCTTCTTTTTTATGCACAGTTAGATGACTGACATCTTGCAATCAAGAAGTTGTACAAGTAGCATTCTTGAGGGCATTTTATCATTTGTGGGTATAACGCATATGTGTCTGAGTTGTTTTTGATAGATAGCATTTTCATTACATATTGTATCTACATTTAATAAAGTGAAAATCAAAATATCAAATGTTCCCAAAAGGGAAAATCAGAAATTATTTCAAAAGAGAAAACGAGTATAACACATACAGCTTACTTAAAAGAAAATGCTAGTTACTTAATAAAAACTCTGTCCCGATATTCAGGTGGAGACCCATTTGAGAAAATATTTTTCTAAGAGAATTGAATACTCTTTTTTTTTTTTTTTTTTTTTTTTTTTTTTAACAGCGAGCATCATCATCCATCTCTCTTGATCTGAATTTTAATGAGCTGTATATATGAAACAGACCTTTGGGAAAAACTAACAGGACAGCTGAAAGTGACCAATAGACATTAAGTCTTCTTCCATCTCTGAGTCTCCCGTTGGGACGTGCTCTGCTGCCGTGAGTTAAGGACTGTTGAACTGCACTCCTGTTCCTCTCATGCAGAGTGCTGCACGCATCAGGGGCTCACGTTGCCAGCTGCCCTTGGCTTTCCTGATTGCAGAACTTCTTCCTGACCTTTCACATCACGTAGCTCTCCCCTTCTAAGGTGTAGTTAAGCTCTCCATAACTCAGCGGAGCCGCCACTTGTTCTGTCCCTCTGCGTGGCTCTCTTAGGGGTTCAGCTGGTGTGCTCTGCTGCTTTTGGCTCCGCTTCAGCTTCCTGGATTAGCTTCAGTTTCCAGTATGGGCAGTAGATGCCTTTTCCCGTCTGCATGTTCTCACACGACAGAAAGAACGGATTGCAAGTGGCAGGAATTGTGTGGACATTATAACCTTGCTTCGTTAGCTGAATGTGCGTGTGTCATCGCTCCACTGCTTGGTGGAAGGTGGCGGTGCTTCTTTGCTGCGGTCCAGGGCTTGGAAGATTTGGAGGTGCAAAATTCTTGAGCTCCTGCTAGTGGTGGTAACTTTTGGCCTAGCAAGCATCCTCACACTTCATGGATCGTCATGTTTTATGATGCGCGTGAGCCGAGTGATCTGCCTTCTGTTTCGGAGCAGAGGAGATAAAAAGCTGTGGGACGTGGCAAATTGGTTGTGAAAAGTCAGAGCAGCCGTTAGCATTACAACTGACAAGCCAGGCTTAGTCTGATAGACTGTTGTTGTTCTTCCAAACTAGATAATATGTCCGTGAAATAACACACATTAAAGCGTAATAGTTCTGCTTTAAATTGTGTGTGACTTTTACTGATCTCTACTTTTTATTGTTAAATGGACTGTTAGAAGCTAAAAAGCTGTGTGAAATCAGTAGGTAAGATGGACTCTACGACCTGGTTTTGCTGGAACAGGGATGGCTTTTTTTTTTCAGAGGCCAGGATGGTCACAGAAGTTTCTTACAGGCTTATCTGCAATGACTCAGTTTTTCTTTTAAAGCAAATCAAAATGTTGTGAGTGTTTTATAGTGCTATTTAGCAATGCTGTGGCATGTAGCACTCATTGCTATGTGTTCATGTTCTCTCCTATTGCTGCACTGTCGGAGCATCTTCCAGAAGTGCATCTTTCATTGCGACACACATTGGGCACTTGCTGCTTCCGAATCTTCAAGGCAAGAAGTCTGTGCAGTGGCATTTACTTTTTAGAATTTTATAAAAACATATGTTCAAGCTATGCTTGAAAAGGCCAAACAGAACAAATGCATTTAGAAGGTTTGTCCTGATAAGTGTTTTTACACATCTACCTCATTATTTTAAGTATAATACTGATAATACTGTAGTGACTCCTGAGCATGGGTCTTGTTCCCAAATTTAACTCAGGAGACTTTTGAAAATGATTTGTGGACTTTATTCCAAAACATTTCTGGAAGTAAGAGGTTGTCCTTCCAGTGCAGAAAGATACCTCCTCCATGTAAAGTTCATCCATGTAAAACTCCAACTGGAGAGGGATAGAAGAGAGAAGTGCTGCCTGCCTTGCTCGTTAACTTCTCTTCACCGTTACTGTAAAGGGAAAGGAAGAGGACAGAGGGAGCATGAAGCACTCACGTTTTCTCTGATTTGTTTGGGGCAAAGCGTTTCTAGGAGTCAGATACTGAGTTTTTACAGTGCAAAATTATCACAGAAGTCCTTTTGCTTCGTTTTATTAATGCCAAGCTCAGTGACTTAGTACCTGGTGTCATACTATAAATATTAAATACATACAGTATAACTTTATATATTGTAGTAGGACAAAAGGTTGGTATTCTTGAACTGAGTTGAATCCTTGGCTATTATCAGAGCCATTACAGAGTCTATCAAAGGTAGGTTTTATCTGCTAGCAATTGATCTGTTTAGCATTATTACAAAGAAATACGAGCAGAGTTATTTCATACATAAAGCCACAAGATAATTATAGTAGGTTGGCCAATATTTTTCATCACTAGTGCTTGAGTCTTTTTAGGTAGAAGGCTACAGGGGTGCTTGTTGTGAGACAATGCTTCTGAGACACCCAGCCTGCATTTCTGTTGTTGAAGTGCATCTATACTGAATTTTAGGCATCATGTGAAATTACTTTTCAGATTTAAAAAAAAAAAACCAGTGTTATTCTATGTATCCCAAATACGATGTTCTCCTTCGTTTTTCTTTCATGCAGTACAGGTTCAAAACTGCAGTGTGGTAGTATTTTTGCAGTCCTTAAAATATGTTTGTGTTCAAGATCTGCAGACCTAGCATTTTGGTCTGAGCCTTAAGACATTAGAGTGCCTGCTAATTTACCTTCAACTTCTTTTTGCGTTATGCACAGTTCATTGCACCCTCTTAGCTGCTACGGATTATCAATATGTGATATTTAAAAAAACGCCATAAATTAATACTGTTAATTAAGGGAACTTAATTAATATGAGCTTCCAGCATGCTAATACTTTCTGTTAGGTACAGATAATAATTATTTTATAACAGTCAAGGAGAGCAGACCCACAGTTCAGGTATTTTGCATTAGTAGCTGTTGGGTTGAGGGGAAGGAGAGAGAATACATGTTAGTCTGCAGACTAACAGTTGAGACATTGACTTCAGAGAGGGATTAAATAGAAACTGAATCACAATGAGTGTTTCAGTATTTTATGCAATGATTATTGTGTATGAAGCACATATCTTCGTGCGTGGATGCTCTCTCCTTGTCTTCTTTTATCATTAAATATTTGAGAAGTGTTTGGAGAGCAGCATTCCTTCAGCAGGGAGGGAGAGAAGATGTTTCTATCCAGACTGCTGCTTGGCTACTTAAGCTTGGTTTCTTGATCCCTCCCTGGGGAACGGGGAATGAAGGTTTCAGCTACTTCAACTTACTCAGGCTGCAGTTTGTTGGCCTCGGTGGGTCCTTGCAGTGAGTGAGGCACTGGGCTCATGGCCACTGGAGAGATGGAAACATTGACAGGATTCTCCAGGAGAGAGAGGGTGCATAGCTGGGAACATTTAATGTCAGCTACTGAAGCACCTGTAGGGTTAGGAAGTAGTGGAAGAGAGAGCTAATGCAGTGTAATATTGAATTTACCTAACTAAAGAAGAAGTTAGGTGGGACAGGCTCCTAAGAGAAGCGAGGTCCCTAAGGGAAGATCTACATGGGAATTATATGGTTATATATGAGTTTCCAGCTAAATAGAGGCAACCAGTAGGTTCGCACAGTGTAGTGCAGTGCCATGCAGAATAATGCTAGCTTTTTGTGTCAGCACGATGTTCCTTAGTCACCCCAACTACATAAGTGCTATCTGCTTTTTTAAAAAGCACTGTTAATTGTTCAGCCAACTCACAGTCATTAAGTATCTATTGATGCAGACATAGGGATGGCGCATGTTTCACAGCAGAGTCTGATGGCTTTTTACTTTTCCTGTACGTCAGTCTTGCTTTTTGCCTTTCCTTATATTATTAAGTAATAATATAATAATTACACTATATATGTTATATACACTATATGTTATGTTGTACATCATGTATATTACGTTACGAAATATTATAACAATATGTAATGAAATCATATAGTCCTATATATAGTAATTTAATAATACTGAATGTTTAAACAGTTTTTCTGTCATCTGCTTTTATATCAATTACATTTTTCCAGTGTCTGTCATTTTTTTTTCGGTTGCTAACACAACTTGATAGCCAGCACCCACTGCTGCTTTCTTCTGAGCACAGTGGAACTGAACTGGCGAGCACAGCGAGAGCGGTCTCTCCTTGCTTCACACAGATGCCAGCACATGTCAAGTGTAGCTCATCGTGCCTCTGCTGGTCTTCTGTGGTTCTTGTGGCGTGCCACAGGCAACAGCAGTAGTGCAAAATTTGATGCACATGACAGAAAATATGGGAAGTTGTTAGTCCCTTGAGTAAGAGAGCTTGATCATTTTTTAGAGCAATTTGCAGTCTTGGATAACTGATTAGTACTGGATTCTTTTGGGATGTTTGGGGCCTAAAATGCTGTTTTATTCTTTTTCGCTGACAGTTTTTCTCAGACGTACTTTGCTTATGTGCTGCTGGGTTATAATAGCATGTTTATAGCTCCATTCCAACCACTCAGAATCTGGTTTTGAATCTTTACTTGTTATTGACAGTGCATTCCAGTTATGTGTGATTTTTCTAACCTGCCTCCAGGTGTAACTTGGATCATTAATCAAGGTCTTTAAGCTTTTGGTTTAAAGTTTGGGTCTTGCAAAACCCCATCTGTCTTTGATGGGATTACTGTGTTATTGCCACCAGCCAACATGTTTTGACTGAGTCTCTACATGTGAATTTTTCAGGTCCAGCATTCTAGTTTCTCAGTGGAGATCTACTACTGATCTAAAGGACTTGGTTTTTTGATCTTCCAGTGAAATTGTAAATAAAGCCTTATGCTGCTTTAGGTGGCAACAAGTCTGTGTTAAATGCATTCATATCTTCAGGTTATGTTCGCAGTTTAAGTTGAAGATGTCATAGGTTATTTGGAATTTGTTAATCTTTTTTGTATGTCTTGTTTTCTAAGCATAGTAGGATGTCTGAAGAACTGCTTTATCAATCCTCTTTTTTCTCCCCCTCCTCCAGGTGTGAGGCAGCTAGCCCACATATTCATCCTGTTGGATGGTGTAAAGAACATAAAAGAACTCTTATCACTCCACCAGGTTTGTATCTTGTTATACATCTGAAAGATTTAAGGAGGTTATAGTCAGCTAGCAGCATTAAAACTTACAATAATCTTACTGTTACCTCTCCTGAATTTTCTTTCTGTAATTAAGAATTGGTATTTAGGGAGTTCTAAATTTTTTTTTTACAGGACATAATGTATTAAAAGTAGAAGTACAATAGACATTAGGTGTTAAGTATGCACATGTATGCTGCTTTAGTAAAGAGACATCTATCCATGAAAGATACCCCTTGGAATCTGAAGAAGTTTTTACTTTTGGCTGAATGTATTCGCTTATTTCAAGACTCATATTATGAAAATACTGATAAAAGAAATACAAGGTGTGTGAGACTGTTGCATAAGAAAAACATCTTCATGTGAACTAAATATGCAAGGTAATGGGTTGATGAGAAGATTGCCTTATGTGATCAAGGAATTAAACTTGTAAGGACTCTTTGGAAGGCAGGAAAATACAATGGGAGAGACGATACAGAAGAATGAAAGTGTATTCATTAGTATGAAATACAGGAGGACCACTGTTTTTCAGGACTGTTGTGTATAGCTGGATGATCTAAATGCCCTTTTGCAGAAACTGCCATCTGTGGTCTGAGAACATGGAAAATTTTAATTGGTTAAAACCAACTTTGACAGAAATTCTAATAGCCAGCAATCTTAAAGTGTCGTAAGCAATCTGTCCGTCAGGCAGTTAATTACAGCCTATTATTCAGTGAAACCCTTCTAAAACAAGTCAGAATTGGTTTTGTTCTGGTTTAGATTATGAATCATAATGCTTAAACTTCAAGTTAAACTTCTAGTGCAGATTAAAGGTGAAGGGCAGGCACTGCCTTTTCTTTAAGAGTAAAGCTGTCTTTGTGTTTCTTGCATAAAGTGCTTGTAAGCATGACTCTTTCTCAGAAAGAGCAGCATCTTCTTTGACGATTATGTCTGTATATTATTCTTATAGTAAATGTCCAGCACATTTTTTTTAGAAATTTAGTTAAAACAAATTCACTAAAAGAATAGCAAGTAATCAGGTGTGCTCCATTGTGGTACAAAACTATCACTGATTAGATTGTTTGCCAGTAAATTACTGTTTATAAAATACAGGATTAGGCTTATAACGCTTGAATGAGTTTCTTGAATTAAGTGGACAGATTTTTCCAGTCCACTTTATTTATATTCTCATATCCAAAGCAATTGTGACTGTTTCTGCTAGCTACTCAGTATTGTGTACAAGAAGATTGTTGCGTTTTTTAACCTACTTGGTGAATGTGTCAGGGACAATTTAGAATAGCCTTCCTTGTAATTATTTTATAAATCTGAAGCATAAATCAGAACAGCATTATAGAAGTGTTAGGCATTCTGTAAAGTAGACATCAATTTTGGTTTTTGCACTGCAGTGTTTAATTTTGCTCGTATTTCTTCTGTGCCAGATTATCCACATGCTAAGCATTTTTCTTGGGAGAAGTACCTGGAAGAAACCAGTTCATTGCCTGCACCTGCAAGGGCTTTTAAAGTGGTAAGAAAATGCTTATATATTTTTCGTGCTTTTAAGTGCATATAATTAATTAGTTTAAGAAGAGGATACATATATGGTGTTCCTATGTTTCCAAATGTGTGCAGTTAATTAGCTGCAAATAAGTGGTTTATTTTTATGCAAGTTTGCAGTTCACTCTTAGAAATCAGATCATTACTATTATAAATCACTATTACTTTATTATTTTAATCATTATAAATGGGATTAAGTGCTACAAAATATTACTATTGAATGTAATTTGCTATGGGAAATTAACTGCCTAGTTATTGGAAATAATGAGATAGCTACTGAGTCTTCATAACATATTTTGAACATATGTATTTCTAGCCGTACATTTTAAATGGCGCAATAAATACAGTGAGAATGTGAAAGTGATTGAGGGAGGTCAGTCTGGTTGCCCATCTAGTCCATTGTCTCTGGCAGTAGCCAAGAAAGAGTTTGTATTTAATATCCTTCAGTAGACTTTTTCTTTTGTGAGCTGCTGACTGGGGCTCATGGGCAGCATCTGCAGGCAGCTCCCCAGCTTAACTAGGGTGTTTGTGGGCATCGTCCTTTTCTTTTAGCTTTGTACTCTCTAGTTTCTTTCAGTGACACCCATCTTTTGTGAGCTTTTGGGATTTCAGTGAGGAAAGTGGACTGGTCAGTAATGCAGAAAGGGTTGCTTTTAGGAGCCAGTATCAGACGGCTGGTAGCTCCCAGCCCCTTGCCTCGCAGCACGCTGAAGCTGGTTTGCCTCAGCTTTTCAGATTAGGGTCACTAATTCTGAATAACACTTTGCTAAGAGCTGGATTAACAAAAGCAGAAATGCAGTGCTTACAGCAGTTCCCGGGGTCAGTAGATCACCAGAGTTTATTACTGACCTGCAGTTTATCACCCCAACATGTGTCTGGCTTAATAACGTGTCTCAATCTTCTTTTGTTCTCAGCAAGAATACTCGGAGCAAGAATTAGGAAGGTATTTGGTTATATCTGAGAGGTATAGTCCTTGGCAAAAGAGTGGAGGGCTGTGACCTTGACTACATCAAGCTAAATCAAAAGTTTTCTTTTTCTCTCAGAGCATCCATGTTTTAATTTCTTCCCCTGGGGTTCAGGGAACAGCCATCCTGCAGGGCTCAGCAGTGGGAATACCCCACCAGTGGCCCAGGGGGTCCTCTGGGCAGCAAGGCCTGGCTGGCTGTGTCTGCACCGGGAAACTGAACGGGACATGCCACAGGCGTGCAGGCATTGGCAGCATTGAACAGGGAGAGCACTAGCTGGCCTGGCTCAACACGGTTCCAGAAACCATACTAGCAGAGAAGGGCTGGGGATGGTATAGGTCCCAAAAGGTACCTTTGAGGATGGAGGGGAAGGAGAGCTTGGCTGCATGGGGGTCAGCTGTGCTCTGTCTTTTGGTTTCACAGCCAGAGAAAATTGTCTCCCTGCTTTCTGTGCTAATGTAATGGTAATCATATTAATGCTAATTGTGATAAACAAGAAGCAAGCGGATTTAACGGGAAAAAAATGCTGATTGTACTGGAGTTCGGGTGAGGTCTTCCTGAGACAGTCACAGTATTTTATATTGTATTACGGGAGAAAACAGAGTTCTTAAGCTGCAGCTGAAGAAGAAGCACTGATGTAGTGTAAAGTCTTAGAGGGACAGATATGCTAGAAATCTAGAATAAAAAACCTAACATGTCTTGTGCATATGTTCCTTTAAAATGGAAATAATTTTTGCTTTAGATTTCATAGTTGTAGATGGCAAAGATAAAATCTGATAATCCTAACAAAGACACCTTTTTTGGCCAAAATAGTGTTACAAACCAGGTATTTGGTCCTGTTGTTCCGAGTGAGTATTTACTGTTATGCCATGGATTAGTTACGTTTTCAGTAGGAGACTGAAAAAGAGAGTTTGAGTCACGAAGCAAAAACACGTACTAAAACCCACAAATTCCTGTAGACAATTTCATACACGTTTCGGGCTGCTGGTATGTAATAGGTCATTCAATACTTGCATTGAAAGTGTTGGCCAGAATCTCTGGGAAAACTTTTGTAGAGAATTTAGGAAAAAAACCAACTTACTTTAAATAAAGATCCCCACTTACTTGCTTGGATGGCTTGAATCCAATCCATTCCAGGAGAACCTGGAACTCAGAGTATTTACTTTATTTATCTAGCTTGTTAACGCCGGTTTGTGTTATGTTTTTATGCTTGGATTCGTTGGCAGGGGAGGGCAGATTTGAGAAAATGAAGGCAGAAAGTTTCGTATGGATTTTATATACTTTACAGTTGTGTGAGTTTTTTGAGCTTTTCTTCTGTTTCACATAATATTGTTGTTCTTTTCTAGAAACCTTCTCACGGCTTTCAGAAAAACATGAAACTTGAAGTGGTTGACAAGAGAAATCCAGTATTTATCAGAGTAGCAACCATTGTAGATACTGATGATTATAGAATAAAAGTAAGTTGCTCTGTCTTACTGTACTATTCTGCTTGAGTGACTGATGAGTACTTTGTAAAACCAAAATCCTGTAGTTGTAAAATTAAGCACAGGAAGAAACGAGTCACATTGCTGTGTCCTGCTAAGCTTTTGCTCATCCTTTTCACTGATTAATATTTGTATAATTCCTTTGGAAGGGGTTGTTTTATTATCCTCTTAGTTACATTTGCTGACATTGGTAATTAGAGACCAGAGTTGAATATGTTGGAAAATTGCTTTGGGAATAGTTGATATAAGACAGTTGTCTATTCTATCAAAAAATGCAATGATTTAATATCAAGTGTCGAAGGGCTGCTATGATATTTGTATTAGGGCCCATAAAGCATTTGGCCTAGGTTAATTGAGTCTGTCTCTGTAAACTTCCAGGGAGATGAGAGAGAGAGGAAAAAATAACTCTCATCTCTTGTGCTTTGTCAGTGACTTCTGCAATTCTGAAGCTTATATTAATTATGGACTTTAGATTGAATTAATCTCAGATAATGTATTTTTAAGAAATTGCAGTATTCTAGAAGTTGCGTACTTGAATTATTTTTCTTTTTTTTGTACAAAACCAGTTTACACTCTGAAGCCCTTAGCTGTTAGAAGGGCTAGCGTATTCCAGATATCCAGTTAGGTGGATATGAAGGGTATTTGTGTTTGCAGTTTGCACGGATTTATTAGGCATAACTGGTATTTCAAGCAGGAAATGCAGCTGACATTTAATTTTGAATCTGAATTAACTGGTGGTAGGGAGTCATCAGAACTATTATCTTCAAACCTACATATTTTCTATCTAAACTTTAAATTGGCTATGCAAAAAAAAACCCCACAAACTTCTCCAGTCTAATTTATTAAAATGACAGGATTTGTAACTTCTAGGGTGGTAATTCGTAGCATATGTTGAAAGAGCTCTGTATGTATCTGTGTGTACATGCATCTACACATGCGCGCATGAGAGATCTGAGCTATTTACTAGTACAGAGGTCAAGTAAGATTTGAAGATACTTAGCTTTCACCTGAAAAAAAGCATGTATAGCCCATACTGGTAGTTTTCTGGGAAGTCACATACTTAATTTTCTCTTCAGTTTCAACTCCTTATCCTGGATAGTCTGATTTTAGTAAAACTGTTACTTCTATGTTGTGGGGTTTTGTTTGATTTAAATGCCATTGTTTTTAGTTTTTTGCTTACTGCTCTGCTATTCTTTAATCCTGTTCAAATGGAAATTTTTTTGAGAGAGAGAGAAAAAGGCAGAAATCCATGATTAATTTAAGTAATAATGTGAGAACTAAACTTGTCCTGCTTTATTTCTGGGTTTTGAGCCTCATGATGCAAGCCATAGTAAAGAACCAAATGACACCTCTCTCTCTACTTAAGTAAGAGTACACCTGGGTTCAGAATCTAATGTACATGTATTTTCTGTGTAACATCGATAGTTCTCTTAAAGTGACTTCTCTAATGGACATGTCATTTTTAGAGATTACTTAGGGAAAATGATTTTATAGAGAATTTTTCTGATCTAAAATATATTGTTCTCCTTTTTGATTTTAGGTCCATTTTGATGGCTGGGACAGTATTTATGATTATTGGACTGATGTAGATAGCCCTGATATCCATCCTGCTGGCTGGTGTACAAAAACCGGACACCCTCTTCAGCCCCCGCTTAGTAAGAGAAATCACATTGTAATGTAATGATGTTAAAAGTTACGTGTGCTGTGCTGTCTTTTCCGCTGCCAGTGCTGTCCAAGGAAGAGTAGCAACTGGGATATGCAAAATAACGTAAATGTGACAGTCAGTGCAAAATCAACAGTCAGTAATTAATCACTTTTTAGTAGATAGCTGTATTGACCCTTACTGTAATGGAAATACAATGTTTCTCTGGATGCATGAGAACTGCAGTCAAAACCTGAGGTAATGATAAAGACCTGTTGCATTAAAATCCTGGCCTTCTCAAAGCCAGTGATGAAACTGCTGTGGCACTCAGTAGGGATAGGGTGTCACTCTTAAATTGTCCACATCCTCTTGAAGGTTAGTGTGCTTTTTAGCTCAAAGGAGTCCAGGCTGCACTGGGAAGGCACTCCTTTCAAATCCTGCAGCAAATCCTCAAAACCAGCTAACTTCCTTTTCTTCTTTAGCTGAGCAAAGAGGCATTAATGGTGCCCACATTGAAGGTAAATCTAACAGAAGCATGGTACCAATAATAATACTGTATTTACCAGCTTGCCCTCTCTGGGGATTTTGTTTTACTTGTTGAAGAAGCGGGAGGTCTGTCATAAATGAGACTGAAGGCTGCAGGGAGAAAAGACTTTTGTGGTAAAAATGCCTAAGCCATTGTGTTTCTGGATAACAGTAGTGAAACCACTTCAGCCAAATATTGAACAGATGATTTTTAATTGAGTGCTCTTCTCCAGGATTGTTTTATGTTGTGGCTCCGAGGTACGGTTTGCACAAGTGCTGAGTGTTCACAGCTGTAACTCAGATCAGAAAGAGCTGTGCTTGGGAAATGAGAAACACTGAGCAATGCCAAGTACTCTGGAAAAATTAAATATAAAATAACAGGGATGAGGCACAGACAGACTGTGTGAACGTGTTACCTGAAAATCTCAGTACCTCAGTTCAGTGTCTCTAAAATATCAACAAGAAATGTTTCCTATCAAGAGCATGATGAGAGTATATTCATTAGTTTTCTGAGCGCACCAGTGGTACAGAGATGACTGCCTGTTAGGAAGTTAATCATTCTGCCTTCAAAGCAGAGTCTGAATAGAGTGCCATAAGATCCAAAGCACAAAGTGAATAATGAGGAGGAGAAGATAGGATGCTGCATATCTGCTTCTTAATCTGAAATGTGCATCCTGTGTACTGAATGAAGGAACAATCCAGTGGGAAAAGGTAGTCGGTGGCCACATAAATGAAAATTGTATCATATGGCAAAAGACCCAAATAAGGTTGCAACATTTCTATTACCTAAGATTGGGGAAAAAAACCAAAACAAACCAACAACCGAAAATCTTAGCCTAGGTGGGAGTATAAAATACATAAGTTCATTTTGTTGGAGACGTTAAAAGAAACAAAATACAGATGCCCATCACGTACAACACATCATCTCCTCTAGGTGGTGGCGTAGGAGGCACTGTTTGTCTCTTTTAGGATGTGACTGGTGGAAGTGACTTTTTGGTCCTAGTTAAGTTACAAAACTAAAGATGAACAATGTGACAGGAGGGAAAGTGACCTTTAATAGAAAAAAGAAATAATTAACTGCACGAATACTATTAAAACAGGGTGATTACTGAATACTATATTCTTCCAACAACGTGACTTTGTATTATTTCCAGAATATTATCAAAGTATTGATATTGTTTCCAAGTAAGTTAAAGTGCATTTCAAATTCTGTAAAAGGGTTTCAGAAGGAGGGAAGAAAATATTTTGCAAGACACGGTATTTTTTCCTCAGTCAGTAAGATAGTCCTTCTAACGATGCAGTCCAGACCCCTGTCTTTAACACTAGAAGCTTTGTGTGAATGCTGCGTGATGTTAGCAGTATTAGCCTAAAGTAGTCATCATAGTGGTCTTATGCTCCCCGTATGTACCTATTCATAGTGTTTTCTCTCAAGATGTAATGAAGTCATCTGATGGTTTATGACCTTTTTGATAGTAGTTAGGGAATTAAGAGCCATGTATTAGTGTTGATTAATATCGTTGCACAGTGACGCAAGAAGCTTCTCGCATAAATATGGACAGCCAGTTGCAGCTCTTTTAAATTACTTTTTTTGAGACTTTTAATTTTTTAAGTGAAGAGAGAACATTTGAAGGGAGCTAGATTTTGCAAAACCAGAGCACCAATGAGGCAGGACTTGCCTTTACAAGTGTCCCTATTAAGTTAACTCTTCTTCTCAGTCCACTAACTTGTTACGTTATAGGCATCAATTTTGCGTAAAGGTAGAAAAGATAAAATTCTCTGTTCCCAACATCCATTACAGTATTTTAAAGCCTATGGACTAAAGTCTTTGGACTTCAGTATAGTCATAGTTTTCCATTAGTATAGTTGGAACATATGTTAAAAAATGCTTTTGGACTGTCCTAATCATACATAATAATTTTTCATCTTTCACTATCCATCTGCAAGCAAGAATCTACCTTTCATCTAGGAAAATGTATTTAAATAGGCCTTTTTACATCAGTATTATCTGTAGGGGGAGGTACAAGTTCATGTACTTTGCAAGTAAAACCAGTACTAGGGAGACAGTGCGTATTTGCAGATGTGCAGCAGGTGTTCTCAATTTCATGAAGCTATGGGTTATATACTGTGTTTGCTTGAGTGTCAAAGCTCGTTTTGACAGCTACATGCTTTAATATCTCTGCAGGCATCATTGTCACAGGTTGATGAAAATCAGATAGACATGTAAATTCAGAGAAGTAAAAATGCCAAAAATCTGATGGCTTGTTCTTTTTAGTAGTATTTTGAGCCTTTGTTTTTGCACCTTGTTCACTGGAAAACTTGAGCTAAAAATGGAGGTCAGTATCCATAATGAACAGATCCTTGTCTTCGGGAACAGCAGGGTAACTTACTTTGTGCTCTTGCAAAACAACCAGGTTCCAACTACATGTAGTTAATAGGAGAGAAATTTGAAGTCATACAGTTCCTCCAAGGTTTGCATTCTTTATATAGATGTAGCTCTTATGTAGAGATTTACTCATGCAGAATAAAATTATTTCTCCAGTGGATTAGGTTGTTTGAATCTCCATCATGCTTTTGCGGAATGCATGTTTAAAGTACTTTAAAATAAGGTTTTGTTTACTTATCTCTTCTTCATGTATACTATGATACTCTGTTACTCCTGCATATTTATATAACTTTTGAAGATTAGATACTTTTTTTTAATCTCATATGTAATTTCCCCTGACATGCAGGTCCCTTGGAATTGGTGGAAGCTTTAGAGCATGGAGGGTGTCCCACAGCAGGATGTAAAGGAGTTGGGCACATTAAAAGAGCAAGACATATCGGCCATCATAGGTATGTGCTGTGAAACTGCAATTTTATTCTTTCAATTGAGTGGTATGTGCACATGTTTGGAGTTTTTTTTTATTGTTGTTCACGAGAAAACAGATCCAAGCTGGAAAAAAATAGGAAATCTTGTAAACCTAAATATGAAATGATTTCAGTTGCCATGGTGAGCATGCTGAAATAAACATTAACAATCTGTAACTTCATTTCATCAGGGTGTGCCGAGATAAGATTTGTCAAACATCATTTTTTGTCACAATTGATAGATTCAGTTACTCTCCCTTTTATTCCTATGAGGATTCCTCGGCTTGCTGTTCAGGTTGCAAAATGCTGCAGACAGATATGTATAAAGCAATAACTTTTGAACCCTTTGAAATATGAGGCCACTAATTTTATTGTGGCTTGGATGTTTTTGTTCTGCTTGGTTGGTAGGGGTGAGGATTTGCTTGTTGGCTTGGAAGAATGTTAAAAAGAAAATTCCGATTGATGTACTCCTGAATGACAGCCTGAACAACTTGCTGTCTGTACCTAGTGTTTCTAAAGATGTTTTTGTTGAACACCTTCTGAGATATAATACAGAAATGTGGACATCCCAGGCTGTCCTAGAGGGGAGTTGACATAGAGGAGAGACAGTAGCATGGGAAAATGGAATGGGGGCCAGAGAGACAATGCCAGAGTAGATGGGAAACATTTACTAAGTCAACATTTTATTATTTTTAAAATACTTACATTATGAGGTGAATCTTGAATATTTCAGTAAGGCATATACAGTTAATGTCACATGTTGAGAATTAACTATCATAAATATCATACTATTGCCTTATTGCAAATTAGAGCTTCCTTCCAGAAGTTTTCTTGGAATGTTTCCATTACGCAGTCATAACAGTCCTTGAATGTTGTATCACTTTGTGCTTTCTGCTCTCATATGGTTAGAGCATTGCTCTTTGGGTATTTGTCTATTCGTGTTTTTTAAGTATATTATTAAATTACCATGATCCAAGAGTTAGCTCTGCAATCTTCCAGTGTTTTTGGTGAGAGAGTCATGTCCTATTGACTTGAATTACGCTACAAGGTTTTGATGGTGTATCAGCACTGGTTGAAGTCCTGACTCATCTCTAAGAAAGACACCTGCCAGCAGAAGTCACTGTGTTGTTACGTGTTTAGTAAGAACTCCTGATGCTAGGTACAAGCTTTATGCCCAGGTAGGGACGTGGCTAGGTTAGCTCCAGTGACAAAACCCACTGCAGTATGGACTGTGGTGGTGGTGTCATGACATAGTATGCCGCACTGCTGCCTTTCAGATTATTCACACCCTTTCCCTTTTGTCTTTTTCTGTCCATGTTCTTTTTCTTCGGTTTATTTTTTTCAGTATTTCTACCTTCCCTTTTGAGAAGCTTTGTTGCACTCCATCAGTAGGATAACTCCTTAAATAGTCAAATTAGTACTTAAGAGATTACCATTCTTCAATTAGCACGTGGTAATCTACTGCATTCATGTTTTTAGTCCACTGCAAATGTGAAGCAAACTAGACTTGCCTAAAGAGCTTCCTGGCTGCTTAGCTGAAACCGGTTTTATTTCATGTTCCAGTAGGCTGAGTCTTGTATGATTTATTAATGCACCTGATCTGTAAGGCAATAAATTCCAATTCCTTACCATGTGCTATCTCAATTACTTAGAATCAGGTTAACTTACCCATTCCTAGCCCAAGGCTGAAACTTTAAAAAAAAGAAAAAGAACCGTAAGTGAATGTGTCAGAAAAGTTTTTAATTTATGATCTCTCTAAATAAACATTGGCACTAAAACTTGTAGTGTTTCCCAGGGAAGGGTTGAGTAAGAGCTGTATGCCTAGTTAGTTCCTGTAGCCTTTGCTTTTATAACTGGATTTTCCACAGTATTTAAAGTTGTTATACTTACTGGTCCTGGATATTAAGAAAAGGACTAAACTCATGACAATCTATTGTTTTATTTTTACTACAGTCTTAGCAATCGTATTGCTTGCACATTAACTGATCGTTCTAGGGGGTAAAAATATAACCAAAGAGATTTTGTTGATCAAAATATATGTATTTGCTGTTTCATAGCAAATAAATTGGTACCCTTAAGTATCTTATTCGCTAACTATATTGGTTTGCCCTCTGTGCTGATATGGTGATTTATTTTTTTCTTGAGCATTTCTGAGGAAAATAATGAGATTTGTTGTTTTTCTGGAGTCTACAGACTAGAGGGTCCAGGTCACCCCAAAAATTCTAATGTTGTACCATCACTTTTTTCCTGAATTAACAAAGACATTTTGAAATTGCTATAATTATCCACGTCAGGTCGCAGTCCCTTGGCTCTTTTATCTTGGCAACCTTGAAATGTATTTAACCATGCTTATCTTTTTTTTTATTTTTTTTTTCCATGATGAGGTACAACATCTGTCTACAGCATAAATGCCTGCGTGCAGAAAAGATGATAATTTAAAATGCTAAGTAGTTCTGAAATAATTTTAAGAGCTTGTTCCTTAGGAACCAGATGAAAGCCTCTGTGATTAATTATGTAGTGGGGTTAAAGCATTTACTTTTTGGAAAAGTTGATGTTAATTATGACTTGGTATCTATCACCAGTTGATCTAAGGCTTTGTGCTGCACGGTTGAAACTGAGACTGATGTGCACGTTGGTAGCATTATGCAGATCACCTGCATACTTACGATTATGAATTGTATCCTCTCTGATGTTTAATGCATGCAATAATTTTCAAGTTCAAGCAGTAATGCAGAGCGGTCAGTTGTAAACAGGTCATTAGTGTTTTGGGTCAACTCTGCATGAATAAAGATTTTTACCAGAAACTTTACATGCCTTATGTGTAAGCTGGAGTGAACTGAATGCTCTGTGGTGGAGGCTGTGTTGCAAGAGAACCACAGCACAGAAACGGGAAACCTCAGCGCAGCAGGATGTCACATCTATTCGTTCAGTGTCTGTTGAAGTAATTCTCCTCTGATTTTGATGCCAGTCTCAAGTTTCATTTTATATTTTATGTAAGGTCATTGGCCCCAGCCCAATCCATTATAAGCTAAGCTATTCTTGAGTCAGGTTTAGACTGTTGAGGCAGCTTTCTCCTAAAAAAGAATGCTTTGATGATAAATGTGCCTTGTAAATTGTGAAAGAGAACGTTTGTATTGCTTGTTTCCAGACTAGTTAAAAATGAAGTCAACTGAAGTAAAGATATCACTTAACAAAAATCCAGCAGAAAAAAAGACTACATTCCCCAGACATCGTCAGGACATTTTTGCTGGGGGTTTCTTGCTAATCACATATGTCATCTGCTCTAGATAAAGTAATCCATCAGTTAGTCTAATTTATTTATTTAACCCATCAAGGAAACTAGTCTGAGCAAATCCGGGTGAATTTTCCTGGAGCTGCCGTACAAGCTCATCCCTTTGGCAGTGCTTGGCAGTAACCTGCACCTGAAAGGCAACGAGGAGCTGGGGTTGGTAACATTTCCAACCAGTATGTTGTTTAATGTTTTCATCAATGACTTAGACAGCGAGATCGAGTGCACCCTCAGCAAGTTTGCGGATGACACCAAGCTGAGTGGTGTGGTTGACACACCAGAAGGACGGGATGTCATCCAGAGAGACCTGGACAGGCTAGAGAGGTGGGCCTGTGTGAACCTCATGAGGTTCAACAAGGCCAAGTGCAAGGTCCTGCACCCAGGTCAGGGCAACCCCTGGTATCCATACAGGCTGGGGGATAAAGGGATTGAGAGCAGCCCTGCAGAGAGGGACTTGGGGGTACTGGTGGATGAAAAGCTGGACATGAGCCAGCCTGGACCCCTCAGCACAAGAAGGACATGGAACTGTTAGAGCAGGTCCAGAGGAGGGCCACAAAAATGATCCGAGGGCTGGAGCACCTCTCCTATGAGGCCAGGCTGAGGGAGTTGGGCTTGTTCAGCCTGGAGAAAAGAAGGCTGCGGGAAGACCTGATTACGGCCTTTCAGTACCTAAAGGGGGCCTATAGGAAAGATGGGGAAAATCTTTTTAGTAGGGCCAGCTGTGACAGGACAAGGGGTAATGGTTTTAAACTAAACCAGGGTAGGTTTAGACTAGATATAAGGAAGAAGTTCTTTACAATGAGGGTGGTGAAACACTGGAACAGGTTGCCCAGAGGGGTGGTGGAGGCCCCATCCCTGGAAGCATTCAAGGCCAGGTTGGACGGGGCTCTGAGCAACCTGATCTAGTTAGCGGTGTCCCTGCTCACTGCAGGGGGCTTGGACTAGATGACCTCTAGGGGTCCCTTCCAACCCAAAACATTCTATGATTCTATGAGTACAGTCAAACCAGGAGACCTGTCTGCAGCTTCGCACAGGTTTGCAAAATATTCCAAGCAGTCATAAAGACTCATAATCTATATTAAAAAGTCCTTTAGTATTAATGTGCTTTTACCAAGCAGAATACCACCTTACTCTTTTTCTTCAGGTTAAGAGAGAATCCCGGCTTCGTTCCCTTCTGATGTTAGGTTTAGCTGAGGCTGAGTAATCCAGTTGGCCTCTGTGCTTCAGAAACTTTACATACTACTAGAAGCTAGGAGCATCTCCAGATGTCTGGAGAAGACTAAGGTCCATGCCCACCCATCAGGATGCCAGTTTTATCCTACCACCCTTGAACTTTAGAGAAGAGGGATATGTGTATAACTCTACCTAGAGATAGATTTTGAGAGTGATAGAAGAGCAACTGCAAAATAACCACAAATGGGATATGCTACCTCAACACTTCTGTTCCATCAGACAGGTCTGGAAAGGGCTGATTATGTAAAACCTGTGTGACTTGAAAATCCTAGGCCTGTGATCCTGGGAATTCTTCAGAATAGTACACAAGAAGTAATAATGGGTGCATTGGGTTTTTCCTTTATTAATCTTTCCTGACTCAAAAAAACCAGAAGCTTACTTTAATGCTCAGTTTTTACTCAGCCTGTGCAGGAAACAGTGGCTCCCTTTCCTCAGAAAACTGTGTGACGGACACTTGTATTGCCAGCCACTCTGCTGCAATTTCAGTAGGATGCAAAGTGTGCTGCAGATAAGTAATTGCTGTGCTATGTTGATCCTTCAACATTCAGAGATGGCCGATTACTCTCTTGTGTGTGGGGGTCAGGTGGTATTAATGCGAATATTTGTTTACTGAAGCTTACTGAAGCAGCTCAGATGATAATTGAGTATCTTCGTGTTTGGACTGGTTTCAAATCTGTGAAGCAGTGCTGGAGGGTGTACAGCCCTGTCAGGTGTACAACAGAGGCTTCAAATCGAGTGCCTACTGCTGCTTCAGCTTCTTGCCATTGTCCTTATGCCTCTGGCAGACCTTGGTACCCCCAAGTCAAGCACATCTGATCGTTTTGGAAACTGCCTTCTGAACTTCTGCTGTTTTCAAAATAGTGCGCTAAAGCAAACTGCAAGCTGGAGCAAAAATCCAGATTTAAGTTGACAGAAAAGTTAAAAATTCTAATTTAGTATTAAATAACCTCAACATCGTGACTGCTGAGCCCTTGTGATGAGCTGTCTCTAAAACTTACAGTCCTGTATAAATCAAATACTTCTATTATGTAGGAATAACAAGATTAATTTTTTATTCTTTCTAGTAGACAAGTTAAACTGAACTGAAGGCTGGAGGCATTGAGATTCAGGAGGATTTACTGATTGATCTGAAGCCATGTAACTCATACACAGGTTCATTCATGCTGTGTTTTGTGGAAACAAAGCTAACAACGGAAACCATGAAGGTTCTTTTTGTTGCCCCAAGTAGTAGTAACATGAAAGGACTATCAAGGAGTTTTTAAAAAATGATACATCAACTCAAATGATTAATTACAAAGAAAAACTCACCTGAATCTAGTGTTCTAAAGCATCATTAATATTATAACTACTGTTGGCTAAAATTGTCATTCAGTTTGTTTTTCTAGAAATTACTAAAGGAAAACAGGCAACTTCTAATAAAGGAATTAATTGTGAGGCTTTCTCTTGGTTTTTAATTTAAAACATGGTGGTATTGATAAACAGGAAGACCTGCTGGAGATGAAATTGTATTGTCAGATTTCATTGTGGGGTAAGGCTTGTTTAATAATGCACAACTGAAGTTGTGTCACATTGGTAGTGTTTAGTGTTGCCTTGAGACAACCCTCTAAAACACTGAGGCTTAAAAACACTAAGCCTTAGAACACCCCTGTGAGTGTAGGAAGCCAAAAGACGATTACATGCTTTGCCTTATAGCAATGGCAGAACTGAGATTAACCAATATATTCCTGAGATTCTGATAACTGTATTTCATCACAGTGGTATGAGTTTGTCACAGCAAGAACTTAAATCCCACTATCATTGGCTCCTTAAAACCTTATTCTGCTTAGAAGCCTGTATCTTTCATCTAGTAGTTCATTTGAAAGGGAAAAAAGACATCATTGTGATAGAGGCAGCAGTATAAAGAATTGAGAATATAAAACAACTTCCCCTCTTTCCTAGCATTCCTGTTTTCTTCCCCATAATTCAGGTAATAATTTTTTGTTCTTTTAAGAGACAGACAAAACCAGTAGGTTGAAAAATAAATGTAAAGTAGAGGTATACAAATAAAACTAAAATAAAATGCCAAATTCTGCTTAAGAGAAATTAGAAATAAAAGGTAAATGCTCTAAGTTAACTTTGCATTTGTATGTTCTGTTCCATGCCTTTAAAGCAATTCCATTAACAAAAAAGTACCTTATTTCAAGTGTAGTGCTTTTAAGAGTCCAGCCACCCATTTGCCTGTATCTTATTCGGCTGTGTAAACTCCTGGTATGAAGCTTCTCATGGCAAAAAACTTCAGGGCCTGTATCTCGGAGGAGGTGCTGGGACTACCAGCCAGTTCCTCAGAAGAAGGCAAAGATGACTGTTCTGTGCTTTGTTAGGTCACCTGGGGATATGGCTGTACGTCCCTTCAAAACACTGTACAGGCTGTTGTGGAACAACATCTGCTTGGAGTGGCCTTAAATAGGAATCTCATCTTGATTAGAAATGCAGAAATGGTATTCTACAGGCATGTTTTTTCCTCCATAATTCAAGTTCAGCACAGCTATACAAGGATTAAAAAAAACCACAAAAGATTGTCTTGTTTTCAAAGGAACCAAGTGAAAAAATCAGGCATGCCATTGGGCTCCTGTCTCGATAACCCCAGCAAGGACTGGCTGACTGGGGCTGTGCAGCCTTAAGGAATTTTCTTCCTTTATGCTAGTGTTGAGAGAAATGTAAATTTCCACCAACTTTTTGTTTATGTTGGTAAGACCAAAAGCAGATCACCAATATAGGTCCAACCTCATGATAGCAGTTGATTCATACTCGCTCTGAAACCAAAGCTTCATTGGTAAAGGAAAAGAAGGATGTACAGCATATTTTGAATAAAAGGTCTTTTTTTTTATGCTGTGCTTTGTAAAACAAACATGATAATGAAAGCTTTTTCTATTTATTGTAATTTGGAGGTGGCAAGGCATATGGCTGGCAAGGTAGACTTGTTTATATTACAGTTCTGTTTGAAAATCATGCATGTAACAATCAGTGAAAAAAAACCCAAACATTGCAATGTTTTATGGAAAGGCAGGTAGTTGTATTCTTGAAAAGAAAAAAAGGAAAATCACAGGACCTGTTTTTTTTACCATTATAGGGGTCCATGCAATAAAAGAGGTGAATTGGAAAGCATAATTTCAAGGTATAGTTAGTGTCATAGCACATGAGCTATATAACAAATAAGAGCATCAGGATTAGTACAGCCTCTCCTATATCTTAAATAGGGATTTGAAAACTTGACCATGTTGTTATTCACTGCTGTGGCATATATATACCTTTCAGAGTTTAGGGTCTTATCTTTGAAGTGTGACTATGTAGCCTGACTAATCAGTTGAACGCTACAGAGCGTTCTTCTAAAGACAAAATCCTAGTTCAGCTGCATCTGCTTTGTATTGCTGTTCCCTTCCCACCTCTTGTGCAAACACAGGTTTTCTGACTTCGGGAGGTACGACTTTCCCATTTGTTAGAGTAGTATTTGCAAGTCATTGTATCAATGCAGAGTGTCAAATTCTCTCTTTCCTTAGCTGGAGTGCATTGAAATAAGGAGTGTTGAATGATAGGAAGGGCTGTGGAAATACCAGAGTCTTTTAACGGAATATCACAAAATGGCATTTGCAAAGATGGGGCATTCGCTGCCGTAAGAGAATGTGCGCCATTCCTCATCCTGTGTCCTTGCAGTGCAGCTTCTGTATGGACATTATATAACAGGAATACCCTCCTTCACAAAAAAAATAACCATGGGAATATGACTTTATTTGGAGAGAGGTGGGTATAGTGAAAGGCACCCTGTGTTTTATGTATAAAATACCATTAAAGCCATGAGAGAGCAGGATAAACATTCAGAAAGCAATTTTCCAGAATGTATACTGTAATATAAATTAATACAATTTGTGTTACATGCATCACTGTCAAAAGGAAACGCGAAAAATATTCAGCTTGAGGTTTTCAATCGGTGGGTTTATTAACACTTTAAAGTATGACTACTTACTGCATTTTTTTCTAATCTTCTTCGTATTAATTGGTTGCATCTGTTTCTAGAAAACTGGTCCCTGCTGTCATTTCATTTGAACTGAGTGAAGTCAGTAAAGTATCTGAGAATAAGGAAGCGTTTCTCTTCTTCACCTTCCAGTGCAGTCAGCTGCCCATATTCAGAGATGAACTTGAACAAAGAAAGCCTCTTACCTGACCGGTTGAGCGGGGAGATGCCTGCAGCCAGTCCTGTCCCCAGAAACAGAAGAATGGAAGCAAGTGAAAGATCCACCTCTCCTGTAATCAAGTAATTACGATTGAAGTGGTGTCCATGACTAACAGCAGTACTTTATTTCAGTGTTCTGCAACCTAATCTGTAGTTGTGTAATGCCTGAATGGTTTCAGAAAGGCCTGCCTATTTTAACTATGTTTCCATTTACAGGGAGGAAATGGATTCATCAGTGCTTATTGCAAAGGTCACCAAGCTGTCAAAGACTGATACTGATTTTACTGCATGTGATTTAACAAGAGTCCGGTTTCATCCTCAGTGTAACTCCCTAGACTCCTGAGTGGTTATCTGGGATTTGAAATGGATTGTTTGCCAGTTGGTTTCACTTAAGAAAATGCTTTATTTGTGGTTGTTTGCTGGGGTGGCCTTATTGACATGACTGTAAATTAATGTTGCTCTTTGAAGAAGAGCCACTATAAATTCTGTTGTTATTGTGGGAGTGGAGAATCAAATTACTGGGAGTGAGTTTTGCAAGAACGATGCTGTAGTCTGTAGCTGAAGCTTCTAGCAGGAGCACTGGGAAAAAACAAAGGGATGTGATATCCAGATGATGGTTTTCAGATGATGATTTTCTATCAGAAATTGTGGATGCCAACTCCTGTGCTTATTTGGGCTGTGGGGATACATAGAGAGTTTAAGAAGGAAAGGAGAAGAAGGGAGGCTTTCCATTCTTTTCAAGGGCTACGTTAATGTAAATGTGAATATGTGAATGTTTGTAGTGAAGATTTCCAGTTTCCCACTGTAATGACCACGTATTTTCAATAGGCGGTATTTTAAATTACATTCTTGGAGGAAGTTTCAGCTTCATGCTTTAAAAACCAAAATACTCAGCTGTCAAAGAGTGCTGCCTGGTTCGATTGTTCTTACAAATGTAGGGTTGTAGAAATCTGAAATGGCTTAATTACCCTCTGGCAGCTAGCCTGGGTACTGTCCCAGTGAAGCCAGTGGCAGTTTGAGCAGTGTCCTCCGTGGCAGGGACTGTGTCAGGTGCTACTTTTTTCATTGTCCCAATTAAGAGCCTGCACAACGTTTTTAAAGGGTCCTGGCTGCACAGCGATATATCATGGAAGGGACAGAAGGGATAGGAGGAAAATGATACTTAAAAGTTTTCTTGTGTTACAAATACTTGAAGTGGGCAGCTTATTATCAAGAATAACATTAGGCAAATTCTGTTCCTGTTGAATTGCCTAAAATGTTTTACCTTTGATTTCAAGTGGAAGAGAGTTCTGTATTGTGAATTCTGAAAATCCCACTTATACAATTTTGTTGGCGGCAAGTAAAAAACTTCTGTGTATTTCTTAAAACAAACAGAAACCCTGTATATCTTCAATTGCACTAATGACTCTTTATCCAGAGAGAAAATAAGTTGAACAACAACTCTGCTGCTTTCAGTTATGAACATTTTTTTTTAATTTGTTTTAAACAGTGACAGAAAATGCCCCAGTCCTGGTCATGTAGGTTTGAAATCTTCAGCTCACAACCGATCATCTGGGAAAACTGCACCAGAAACAACTAAGCAGGAAGATGCAGAAAGTAAATCTCCTTGCAAGAAGCCCCTGTTATGTGATGTGAAAGAAAAGAAGGCACCGGGGTAACTATCAGTTCCTTTCAAAGCACGGGTTGTTTGGAGTCAGTCAGTTTAAAATGCAGCTTACTGGGCAATGCAGTACAGTGATTTGTCCATGGAACTCTTGGAAGCAGTGGGAAAGGAGGTGGAAGTTCTTCAGCTGTCTTTATATTAGAAACAGGGGGGAAGAGAGCGTCACAATATATTTAAGGAATCAGAAATCCGTGTCAGAGAAGAGAGAAAAATACTGCAAGACAGAGAAATTATTGGAAGCTGAGATCCTTCTTCCCTACCTCTGTGTACAAATATGTTATTGTGTATGTACAGATATGTACATATATTTAAAAATTAAAAGGAATTCCTTAGCTCTCAGGATTTGGAGTATCTTTTTGACAAAAATTGACATGAAATAGTTTCCAAGCTTGCACTGGAAAATAATATTTATTGTATAAAAAGGCTGTCACTGAAACTAAAAAGATACAGTCCAGTGTTTTTGTGGGGATCTGTAAGGCAATAGGGTTCCCTACATTTTTAAATAGTTAAAGTATCAGGGCATTATTGTATTGGCTATTTTCATACAGAAATAGAATGATACGATTTCCATACCACAAATAAATAGCATTCACTAATCATACTCAAGTGAATTAAAACAGCAAAAAGACAGAAGACAGTTTCATGTGTAGTTTTGAAGTAACCTGTGTTAAATAATAGTCATTCATCACCTTAACTGTAGTTGTAGTAAATTCATCTTTTTTTAGAAATAAACTTTGACTTTACAGACTATCTCTTAAAATTAATTGAAGAACAAACTTTTATTTCATGTTTTTAGAGGGTGTTATCTTTATGAAGACCTGAAAGAACCAATACGTGTGTTATCTGTTCACTGTATTGAGTCATTTTCATTAAGAGAATAAGAGCCTTGTGCCAACTTTGAACTACTCAGAGGCTTTGCAGTTTGTATTTGAACTGCATGAATACACTGATGACTTCTGCATTTTATCATCTAGCTTTGCACATCCTTTATGTATCCAGCATAGTCAGAGAGGACTTTTAGCTGAATAAACTTCTTTTGAAAAAGGCATGAAAAATAGCGTTCGCAACATTAGGTATATATGAACTGCTAGAGTTATAAAATATTGAGTATCTGGTTATTGCAATACCCGGTGGATCTTTTTAGATGTGTATTCAAAGTACACATGCATAATTGAACACATAGATACGTATACTTGCGTGCTCTTCAACTGCTGAGCTCGTAGTGTGGATTTAATGATGTTTGACTTCACTACAGTTGTGTATACCTTCATATTCCAGGTAATCTTTGTTTCATAGAAGTCCTTGATTGAGGAACCAACCGTGTACAAAGCCAACCATGAGATTGATTTTGTTAAATTAAGCAGTACCCAGCTAATCTCCAGTTCCACGTACTCCTTTTCTTTCTTAGTAAGACAGATCTGTGCATGCAAACAATTATACTAATTACAACAAGAAAATTTTAGTTTGCAAAAATACGTGCGTAAAAACTGCAGTCTGTCCCTCTGGAATGTTCCTGAGATTAAAAATCAAGATAACAATTACATGCCTACAGCATATTGAATTTTAATTTGAAAGTATCTTTGTACTATCTTCAGAGTAGCAAAAGAATGTCACTCTAGTAGGAATTTCACTCTGGAACTATTTACAGTGGAGGAAGGTGAACACTCAGACTTGGGAATCAAAAGGTACTGCCATTTAAAAGAAAATTCAATTTATCTTCCAACCCCTTCCTCAAAACCTTCAATTCATGATACTGTCTTGTAATTTAACTAGTGAGGTAAAATTTCTGGATGTACGCTGATATGAAAATTGTCCTCAAGGAAATAGGAAGATACTTATTTCCTCACAGGTTTTAGTGATCTCTCTTCCTTATGTTGAATTACAGTAATCATTTACTTTGGCTTTGGAATCAATTGCACTACTTTGTAGCATCTTACTTTAGAAGTTTTCTGTGTTTGTGTAGGTTAGGAAACTAATTTTTAAGTAAATAAATGCAGGTGATATTTCTGAGAAAGGTAGTGTGGAAAATTCCTTGTGGCACAAGAAGCCATGCGTGCTGTATGCGTTCCACTGGCATTGCTTGTCATACCGTTATTATTTGGGTCCTACCATACTACAAAGGCTCGATTTTCCGATTTGTGTTCACTTTGCACCATTAATAGCATGTTAAATATATTTCTGTTAATGTCTGTGAACTTAACAGCTCCTGGATGATTTATTCCCAAATGTTTACTTGTATTTAGTAGTATAAATAGTATTTAATACATAAATTGTATTTAATTCCGTTGTTTACATTTATACTATTAAACAGGTCTCTTTCTTCTGCGGATTTATGTTTTGAGATTAGCTAATCTTGATGTCTAACAAGGCGTTAACTCTAGTTTGGGTTTTTATCTGTGTTTGGGACATTTGTAAAGGGGTTCTTGTTGACTACTTCTCTGGTAGATAGTAAACCATGAGTTTGTGTAGAGGGCTTTCTCGTACTCTTGACTTGAAGATCATTCTGTCTGGTTCCTATTTTTAGAAAATGTTCATTGTGTACTTAGTATCTCTGAGAGCTCTGCATCTATGATGGCTTAGTAAGAGCTGGCCAAAGTGTTCTCAGGTTCTTAAAAGCAGAAGGAAATAAATACACACGTAATGTCAGCAAGTTCATAAGTTTCATTTCTCTAAGAAACCAGTCTGGAAATACTTTCTGAAAGCAGAGTTTGCAGAGTTTCCCAGGGGCTGATTTTAAGATGCAAATACACTCACCCCCACTTTGAGAAGTTGTCTTACCTCTCTTGCCCCATTTTTGTCAGTAGAGGGAAGGCGTTCCCTCTTCGCAAACATTGGGGTTGGCAAAACTAAGGAAGCAGCTACAGGCAGCCAGCAAAGAGCACCTCTTTTAGCTGGATAAGAAGTAATGCAAAAACAGTCACGCAAGAATACATATATTTTCAGTGGGATCATTAGCAGCTGCACGACAGTGTGTCAGTATAGTACAGGAGTTGGGGTAGGGTGGAGATGAAGGTTGGGCAGAGGAAAAGGAGTGGGTGTTGTTTCAGACAGTTCCTGAAAATGTCCTGGATAACCAGTAATGCTTTGTAGGAGATGCAGCTATATATGTGTTCTTTCCTCTTCCCATCTTCTGCCATGGACACATCCACTACCTTCATTTGTGTATTTTCTGTTTTCAGTTACAAAGTCAGGTGTGTTGATGTGATTTACGTAACCTTAGTTTACACTAGGCAGCCTTCACTGCAAAATTCATGTCAGTCGTCATGCCATCTGTGTAAGTCAGAAATTAGATCCTCTCTTCTTTTTCTTCTTTATTTTATGATGATACAACATCTTTTGTGTGGGAATTCTGGTGTGTTAATAATGTTAGCAAGAGATGTCATCATGCTTAGTGATTTTTATGATGTCTTAATAAAAACCAAACATCTTATTTTCCTCAGTGGAGTACTACAAACAAAGGACTCTGTAAAGAACAAAGAGTGTGAAGAAGAAGAGACAGAAAATAAGCTGCTCATTTCAAATGAAATTAAAGGTAAATTGGCAGTATGCCATTTGTTTCGTATTAAAATCTGCAGAACTAAAGAAGTGTGATATGCCTTGAAATTCTCCGTGAAACTTCATTGCAACTTATTTCCCACATTCACTATTGGTGTCCAAAAATTTCTTGACAGCAACACTTTTCACACTGTGTTTCTTTATCTTGTAATCATCAAAGGCTTTGCGGAGAACTTTATCACAGTTGTAAAGATGAGTGCAAAATGAATACTGGTATAAAAAGTTTCATTTCAAGAATATTTTTCCACTGACTTTTAAAAATAGGTAATTAAACCAGCCTGAGTTGTAACGGTATAACGTTCGCTTATTACTTCAAAAGTGTATTGAAAGAAAGTTAAAGCATTTACTCATTATAGGCATAATGCAAAGTTAAGGTGACTTACTCAACCCAACCTCAGTCTGTTGTGCAGCTTGATACTTTCCAGCAGCCCATATGCAGAATGTGCCTTTTTTTTCCCTGAGTGTTACAGAGGGATGGATAAAATTTTTACTGGAGACAGTCTAGTTGAGGACCACCAAGATGATTAGGTGGTCGAAGAAAGGTTGAAGGAATTTGGGAAGGAAAGACTTGGAGGAATCTAGTCACAGCCCTGCGGTAACTAAAAGGTAGTTACAGAGAAGATGGAGGTACCCTCTTCTCAAGGATGCACAGTGGTGGGGGCAAAAAGGGCATGGACACAAGTTGCTTCAGGGGAGATTCTGTCTGAATATAAGGAAGAAACTTCTCACCATGAGAACAATTGCAATAGGCTGCCCAGAAAAGAGGTGGGATCTTTCTTGCTGGAAATGTTGAGGGCTTAGCTTGACAGGGCCCTGGATAACAGGGCATTAGACTAAGTTAACAGAAGGTTGCATCATACAGTCTCCAAAGGTCCCTTCCAACACGGACTTTTCTTTGGTTCGGTGATTCTGTGTGGTTGTGCATACTGCTGTGTCAAAACTCTTGGCTGTTCACTGATCCAGTTCTTTAGGGGCTATATTTCTTGCCTTTTAAGTGAGCTCATCCTTGCAAAACCCAAGAAATTCTTTTGAGACTAGCAGAGCATTGCGTAAAGATGAAATTAAGGTTTTATTTTTAATTATTAACCTCTGATACATGTCTTTTATCTTAAAACATCATTTGTCTGCCAGCGCTTTTCAGATAGAGCTGTGAGGCACTCTGAGCACTCTGAGTGATACCATCTATTACAAGAGCTATGCAAAAGGTGTAAAAAGTCCAAGTTGTTACGGTGTTTTGAAACATGATCTAGTTCAGGATTCTGGAGAAAATGAAGCATTAAAAGAAGAATATCTCTGAAGCAGGTTTTGGTCATTTGAAGTATTTTGTTTCAGCAGAATGGAACCATACTGCTTTGCTGGTTTGGACTTTGCATTATATAAGACAGTACAAAAAATTTAAAATCAAATAGTTCAGAGCATTTTAAATTGTCTGCAATTTTTTTTTTTATTGTAAGAAAACTGGCCTGGTTTTGTGAAGCATTTTGAGTTTGGCAGAAGTAACTACTTGGATAAAGTTTCACCAACAGGCTCTGCTTAGTAGGATACATTTCTGTGTAGGGTCTTACATAATTAGATTTATAAAACTAGAACACTGTCTTACGTTATTGCTTAACAAAGTTATCCTTTTTACCTCCTTTTTATACACAGAATTTTGTGCCATAATACTTAATCTTTAGGATGAAAATGGATCAATTAGCTCTTGCTATCATAGCCATGGAAAGCTCAAGCTAAAATAATTGCAGTTGTGCAGACTTAAACTGTGACTGCTGGCCCTATTTTTTCTGCATGTCACTCATTTTTCAACCTATTTTTGCCATATTCACTTGACCAGTTCTCTGCTGATGATTTATAAAATGTGTACTGCTATCTTCCCTTTTCTGGAGAAAGATTATTTGGAGCTAAAGAACTCCGCTGAAATCATGGCCCCTTCATACTAGCTTTTCTTAGGGACACAAATCCTGTGCTTAAAAACCTGATACATGCCAGGAGCTAGAACATGCAGGAGGGAATGAACAGTGTTAATGGTCTCTCATTAACGCCAGAAAGTGTTTGCCATTTAGCTTCTTTGAAACGTTAGGTTATATTCTGTTGGAAGGTAACTTGCTAAGAACATAGAGATGAATTAAGGAAAATATCATTCAAGGAGAAGGATAACATGGTGGCATTAGGTATGAAGAAGAATGTGGGCAGGTGGGCTGATGCTGAAGCAAAATGTCAGCTACAAAAAACAGTGGTCAGGTTTAGAAGTGTAGGTTTACTGCATCTGGCTCTGCTGTCACACGTGGAAATGGCAAGCAGATTTTGTTTATTCACTTATGTTGTTCAGGAGCTCTCTGTGGCTCTGACGGAACTGGCTAACCCGTGGTGCACCTCAAGTTACTGTTCTCCTAAATGTCCAAATTGAAACGTAAATTGGAGTACATCACATGCTTTTTCTGGCCTACAAACACAGATTGCCTGTCTATGGGAAGCAGGGCTTGCAAGGCGAGGCGTGCCAGAGCGTGAGAGTAGGGAGAACTTTTACGTCTGGTATTGCACGCATAGATTGTAGCCAAAATACTGTGCTTTGCGCTGTCTTTTGCAAGAAGTTACCCACACTAAACCTAAACTTCCGTTTGTCAGGGATGTGGTTATACCTGCTGCAGGGTTGGGGACTTTTATTTCTTTTTCTCCATCTAGCTGGATGTGCTCCTTTTGTGCTGTTCATCTTGCCTGTGAGGCAGATGCAACAGAGGCTGAGAAGCAGAGGCATTTTTGCCCACATCTCAAAGGCATTAGGCACTGCATTCCTTCCCGTGTCAGTAAATAGAGCTCTTGAATGTGAATAGATGGAGTACAAGGTTTAGCATTATTCACTGTCACCTTAGTGAACTTATTTTCTGCTAACCTCATTCATAACCAGCTGACCTGTGTTTGCTTGAAGTTTTCCAAAAAACCAGAGCATGGACAGATGCCCAGCGTAGATTTTTCATCTGGAACTGTTAGGATTTGACACAGCTGTAAACTATTGAAAATAGAGGCATATGGGATAAATAGGTAACCTTAGCTGTCATTGCTGCTATTCACTATGCGTGTACTTACATACTTTTATGTATACATATGTTTAAAAGTGCAAAAATGGAGTGCAATTTGCTTGGAATTTTCTTCACACTGTATTGTCATCTGCTATTTATGTTACAGTATCAAAGTATTACATGTTTTGTAAATGGAAAACAAAAAAAATAGCTAAATACTTGTATTTTCAACTCTTAAGAGACCTTTTTTAGAAAGAAAAAAATCAGGGGATAAGGATGCGAGGGGATTCAAGGGAACAATGAGAAAGATACCACTCGGTAAAATAGGCTTTATATTCAGCGTGCCCGCTGCCTTACAAGACTCCTTCCTTTCTCGCTGAGATTTTTAGTAGTAGTAGAAACTTGAAGGAACACTTGGAAGAATAACAGTGGGGTGTAAACAGACATTTAGGGAACTTAATTCCAAGAGTAAGAGTATAATGCTAGGAAAAAAATGAGTCTATTTAAAAAAATTAATCAGTGGGCTGACAATACTGACTAAATGGGTTAAGAGCCAACTTCTGAATAATTGACATTGATATAAAATGAGGATAAGTCTTGAAAGTAACAAGAATTTAAGCTAGAGGAGCCGAACAACATGAAATCACACCCTATATTGGCCACATTATATATTCTAGACCAGTCTCACTGTGCTGGCAAAAATCTATAATAGGAATTTGTGCCCTGGTTGTTGGACACAAATGTATGAAAACTAGAACAGCAAGGATAGGGAGAACTGTGAATAATAGCAGCTTCCAAAAAATGGAAATGGAATGGAGCTGTAATAGAAGTGAGCGATCCAAACAAAAGTAGCACAGGGATTTGTGAGTAGATTGCATGAAGCCATATTAGTAAGGAATGTTAGGCATAAGTTCGTTCTTGGCCATTACTTTCAGAAATGAATTCCAGAGGTTTTCCACAATTTTACTTGGCAATTGGGAAGCATTCAGGACTGAGTTCATAGCAGGCATGTTGCTTTTGCATTTGCAGTGGATCTAAATGAATGTAGATGTCTTGCGCAGTTTGACATCATTCGAGGCATGCCTCTTCAC